AATTCCCATAATGTATAAGCTAGTATTTGCTGTTTGTTCCTTGTTTGGTGTTGATGGAGTTGCATAATTAATAGGTTTTTCTTTGTTTATCACTCCGTGTCCAATTATTCATGACATTCTCGGTAGGGTGGGAAAAAGTTAAACGATGGATCATAATCCACTTCCTTTCTGAGCGCGTTAATATTTTCAAAGGAAATCAAAGTTACTGCTTTGAAAAAAGCACTGCTGACTTGGTGCTTTTCAGTAATTTTCGAGCTGACGCAATGGCCAAAATATACTTCTGCCGTAACTTGTCACTTGCAGATTGAAAGCTATATCCACCTCGAAAATAATAAATTCTTTGTAATCGAGAAACAAACGATGCGGAACCATAAAAAATGGAAAATGAAGATCCCATATCCCAAGGCTTTTCTTGGTTCTTAAAGTCGTGATTTATGGAACTGCCGTATAGAACAATGGAAATTCTGACAACAGTCAACGAAGAAATCCATAAGTTCTATGAAACAAAAAACAAATTTTGACGATCATCCCATTTCTCTGATATTTGCTCTCTTATTTTCTCTTTTACGTAAAAGTTGAGTACATATTAGAAAAAATCTTTATTGGCTTAGTTTAGAAAATACAATTTTTAAATAAAAAATCTGTTGTTTTGCGAAAAAAAGATGAAGCTAATATCTTTGTGAAAAGAGATGACACTTCCTGCTGTTTCTTCCATGATTAATCCTTATCGAAGTCTAATCCTGAGATGGCGGCATCCATCCCGTTAGGAGTCTGGTTTTGTGGGCGCACTATATATACATACATGAGCTTCAAATGGACTACACAAAAAAAATGAGATTTGACATAGTTCGTTCTAATTGGGTGTAATTTTTTTTAATAGATAGATTTTAAAAAACCCTTTTCGAAAAACCTAGCCGAAATTTTGCAAAGGCCACTCAAGTTTATTTGATTTTCTGGGCAATGGAAATAACGAATCTTGATTTGTCTGTCATGAAAATTTGATTCGCTTTTTTACGAGAATCGAAGATTTGGTAAGGACACTATTGTCAATCGCAATTCTAGAGCTTAAAATGCAGAAACGTTTCTGTTTACGAGAAAATGTCTGGTTTGGCCAGTTATTTTCAGTACATTTTCCTTATCATTTTCTATGCCATTATCACGTGATTCAATTTTCGAAGCGAAGTAATTCTATATGGGAATTCAATCTTTGCATCTATCCGGATTGAGCCTAGTTTATAAGAATTTGCAGCTTTTCCTTAGTTTCAGATCAAATCACCATGGTTCAAACTCGTTCCATGCCTTCCAGTTCTGAAAATTACTTCGACGCAGACGAATGCCAATATGAACCACAAATACTGCTGGTGAGTGAGTTCGACAAATCTGCGGTATCTTTGCAATTTATGTAAAAAGCTTTGACAGCAATTTTGCAGTAAAATTTCACAAAAGTAAAAGCTACCCTTTGCAGGAAATTATTAGTTTCATTTTTTGTTTTTACGCAAATCGAGAAATTGAAGTACTGAATGTCTTCCGAATTAGGAAGTAGTAATTTCGTTCAAATGTCATGTGAAACATCGCATGTAAGTCTCAGTGGACAGATAACTTATGTATGACTTGAAATCAAGAAATCAAAAAATAATTTTCAGACAAGGGCACCAGTATTTTGTCTTCCTTTACCCTCACATCATATTCTCCTTCATAATTGTTACAATGCAAACTTGTACGATGGAAGCTCAAGCCAAATTTGGAGTGAAAAAAATCATGACAATTTTGAGAGAATACCTACTGCAGATGTAACTGCCGATAATTATTACTTGGATTAGAATTATTTCTGTTAAAACAATAGCCTTTGTAAAACATAAGTTAGTGCTTTAAATGAGGCAAGGACGGGGGGGGGAGGGTGAAGGAGCTGAGTTTGCTTCCATGTAAAATTACTATTTTTGCGTACTATCAGATAATCCATTTAGTAAGAGTGCATGTTTGAGACTGTAATAGCAGGGCATGTTTATCACCGAAATACTAACTAAGCGATCAAAACTGAAACTTTTTTTAACATTTCAGGAATGGAAAATGTGCTTTGTCGGATGTATAGGGCTTGTCACAGCTCTGATCAGTATCAAACTTAATTCTCTACTCTGCTACACTTTTAACTGTTCAAAGGTTGGTTGGTGATTTTCTAATTGTTCCTCTACAAAATTTGTTCAAGAAAAATAAAAATAACAACGCTTCCTGATATTAGTAATCACTTTTAATTCATTTTTTCTTTTTGATACAATTTTGCTGATTTAATTGAGTAAACAAATGAGTCACTAATGAAAAATGTTCAGGTACTTCGAAGAAGGAACCTCACCTATATGATGTGGATTTCGTGTTGCGATATAATCGTTTCGATTAGTTATATTGCTATAATGTGCATGCAGGTTTGGTTCTCTTTTTTTACTCTATTTTAACAAAATAAGCACGGGATTTTTAGGTCTACACGGACTACTTCAAGTCTCTCACATTATTTTATCTCTGGCACTGGTACTTACGCATGGCTTTTGCTATCTCACAGATAACTCTGAGTACATTATCATTCCTGCTCATGGCAGCTATCATTGAAAGATATCTACAGAGTGCAAGTGACTGCAGGTAGATTTTCACTGTTATCGGTCATTTCACCTCAAAATACAGAAGAAATCTGTTGGGACCCCTGCGCAAAAAAAACCTGTGCTTCTACAGTTAACTGTCAGCTGAATTAGTTTCTTTTTTTCACGAGCAGTAGACCCTGCACAAAGTTTTTGCAAAAATCTGGAGTGGAGTTTTGAGAAATATTGGGTACTTGAGCAAAGATTTTTCTACTGACTTTTGAGCAACTGTAAATTTAACGCGATCCAATTTACGTAATTTTACACAGTACAATAGATTCTCTCATCTTATCTCCAATTTTAACCACTTCTCGCTCATATTACATTTCCTAGTACAGACGAAACTCTCGTAATGAGCTTACTCAATTATGAGACTTTTCAAAAATACTATCCAAATCATCTCTGTATGTTTTTAGATCCGGAAAACTATTCTGCCTTCTTTCGCAACAACGTACCACTGTTGTACTGATCTGTTTCACCGCTAGCTGTATTTTCAGAGGAACGGTTTTCTTCGAAGTGGCGGTAAGTTCAAATAAAACATTTGCTGCTAATTTAGTCCAAAATTAATCCGTTGTAGGTGCTCCACAATCCACGATGTCATGGCTTCTCCAGCATGGGGTTAGCACCGGCTAGGCTGTTCGCTGATCCACTTCTTGATGCCGTTTGGAAATTCTGGATACGCAAGATCGTTACTGTCTTCATGCCTTTTGCCGGTAGGTAATTTCCATTTCAAGTCAAGCACCGATAAACTTGACTGAATGGCCTTGGAGTCAGAAGCTCATTAACAAACTGTATGCGGTTTTGATAGTTTGTCCAATTTATGTTAGAGGAAATCAGGCTGTTGAACTTAATCTTTCAAGGGTTCTAATATTGGCTCTTTAGAAAAATCCTCGCGCAGTTGGCTCGTCGTAAATCTAGAAATAGTAAAATTTGAAACCTTATCATATTTAGAAGCAAACATGTGAACATACCACACTTAGAAACATTCTGCTTTTTATCGGAATACAGCCCTTTGTTTTATAACCTCACTTTATTTATCTTCTTACATGAATAAAAAGAAGCATCTCACGTAGGCAATATTTCACCCTGGATTGTAAATGTTGTGCTCTCTAAGATTGCAGGCGCATCGTTTATTACAATGGCGGTCTAAATTTTTTAGATGAATGAGTGTAGCATTAAGCAACCTCTCCAGAAAAATTTTTGTAATGCTTTTTAAAATAATGGCAGCCCTGCAACCCCAAAATATCTCCCAAATGAGTTTTGTACAGAGCTAATTTGAACTATTTATGAATAAATCGCACATTTCATAGCTCACGTACACCCCCTACTCTCGGTCCACTACTGGTGTGTAGAAATGACCAAATATAGGATGGTCCACATGAAGTGGGACAGACTGCGAAAAAGTCATTCTGATCTACTTCGTGCCACGTTTTGATGATGGCTGTCTTTTCCATACTTTTCTGTCCTATTGTGCCCATTGTTGACTTCGACTTTTAATTAGAGGTAATCTAGCATGAAAATTCATTAACCGTGGTGAAATGAAAAAGCAAACCGTCGGTTTTCAAGATCGTGATAAAATGGGGGGGGGGGGGGGCTGTAGCGCTTTCTTGGTCAAGGGGCGAACACTGTGGACAGACACTGTCTGGAATTTTTAGCATGACTAGTCACCAATTTACGGGGAAAAGAAAAATTGCAATTGAGCAAAAACCATATTTCGGGTTTGAGAAAGTAATGTTTGGCCTTCTGATTTCCTAATTTTAACCCACAAATCTCTTTTCTATTAACCTAGAAAGGCCTGTTCCTCAAAACCCATACTACTCGATTTGCTAAAAAAAAAGACTTGGAGAGCCTGGGACCATAAATCACTGCGCCCTCGTCAAAACTATTCGGAATCGAAAAAATAGTTCTACTAAAGCAAGAGGAAGATATCTTAAATATCTTCTATATGAACTTAAGCAGATTTTTTTTGAGAGACAATAGACTGCATTTTTTGAGTACTTGCAAGGTACTGCAGTTTTTTGTGTCACATTTCATTGACTTCCCTGTGCACTACGCCTGAAAAAGAACTTTTTATCCCCCTGAAATCAGGGAAAAGAGAATGTAGACTTGACTAATATTGTGGGGTTACTACTTTACACTGTCATATTGCAGCATTGGCCTGGTTCAGCCTTGCTATTATGCTTAACGTTCGCAAGACCGATCGTGATCAAACTGTCAAAGCCTTGGTGATGTTTACAGCTGTGGGAAGCAGGTAAACAAGTGTCTTGTAATGTAATTTGCTCTATCGTTTGATTGAATGAAATCATAGCGAACTTACTTGCAGGGCTAAAGTGAAGAAACTAAACTCACGTCTTCGAACTGTCACACGAACGTTGGTGACGATGGTGTGCTGCTATCTCGCTGCTAACATTATCGATGTTATTGTCGCTTTTTGGGAGGTACTAACCCCAAAATATTTTTTTAAAAAAGCTATAGAATCACCTAATTCAGACAATTGACATAAAATCTCTTTACGCCAATGAAGGCGTCTACACAGTGACCACGGACATCTCGTCATTTCTTACTATTCTGGCTTGTTCACTGCGTCCACCGATTTGTGTCATCAATGACAAGCATATTAGAACTGCGGTATGTTTAAAATAAAAATACATATTGAAAAATCGTACCCGAGCGGAGATTCGCCAGCATGATCTGAATGATTACTTGAGAATTTTATCGTCACTCATTGCTCATCAGCGAAGTCGCAAAAATTTTCTTCTGAGTAGCAATTTTGGATGGGATAAAAGTTCTGCCAGATTTGATGAAGTGTATTTCAGCATTTTTGCTTTCCTGGATTTTACAAAACGACCACATGAAAGTTATTTTGAATATACTCTTAGTTGAATGACTTTAAATTTGTCGAACACTTGATCCAGTTTTGGAAATTCTTAAAAACTAGCGACCCTACTGGTCGCTAGCAAGTGGGTAGGGGCAGATACAATATAAGGGCTTAGTTGTGATTATAAATATTTCTAAATAAGTTTCCTATGCCTTTGCTGAGAACATCTTTGCGAAGCATTCTACAAAAAGGAGAACTGTTCGAAGAAGCAATAATCTCCACAAATCATTCAGCATTTCTCGAAATTCCTGCTGCAACCATGCATGGGGCATTATTTTTCTCTCGTTTACCACGCTCTTTCTGCAAATCCCCTCCTCACAGAGACATTCAGATACCCCCCCCCCCCCATCTTTTCTACCCTCTCACTAAGAATTTGCTCTCCCAATTCTTCTCAACAATGTCCATAAAAGATCGTCAAGGAAGTAGAAGAACACCTATCGTTTTGGAAGTAGAAATACACCCGCAACAATTGTGTACTACAAAAACTCAGAATCAACTCCGACAGCAACGAAATCAATCGTCTAAAAACTTTGTCAAAAATTTTTTCAATATTTTCGCCAAAGGAATATGAAGCTTTACTACATAAGTAGATCCTTCCCCGAAAAGCACACTACTGAGCCACCTAAAGACCGTCAATCACATGAACTGCATAAACGTACAAAAAATTTGTTTCCCTGTCCATTAAATTGCCCTACGTGCCGCTTGAAGACCGTTCAAAAATTATAAGAACTGTCCCAAACGTACAAAAATCTGTTCCCCTGCCCGATCAAGTTGCCCTACGTGCTGCTTGAAGACCGTTTAAAAATTATAAGAACTGTCCCAGACGTACAAAAATCTGTCCCCTTGCCCGATCAAGTTACCCTACGTGCCGCTTGAAGACCGTTTAAAAATTATAAGAACTGTCCCAGACGTACAAAAATCTGTCCCCTTGCCCGATCAAGTTACCCTACGTGCCGCTTGAAGACCGTTCAAAAATTATAAGAACTGCCCCAAACGTACAAAAATCTGTTCCCCTGCCCGATCAAGTTGCCCTACGTGCTGCTTGAAGACCGTTTAAAAATTATAAGAACTGTCCCAGACGTACAAAAATCTGTCCCCTTGCCCGATCAAGTTGCCCTACTTGCCCTTGAAGACCGTTTAAAAATTATAAGAACTGTTCCGAACGTACAAAAATCTGTTCCCCTGCCCGATCAAGTTGCCCTACGTGCCGCTTGAAGGCCGTTTAAAAATTATAAGAACTGCCCCAAACGTACAAAAATCTGTTCCCCTGCCCGATCAAGTTGTCCTACGTGCCGCTTACGGACCGATAATAACTATTCATAAGAAAGTTTATGCCTATGTGCCGCTTGAAGACCGTATACATAAGAAAAACCAACCTTACGACTCTACGGAAAGAAAACAACGAAATCAAGTATTTACAGCGTATTCTCAAATTGTCGTACATGCCAGTTTGGAATTTCAATTCTGAGAACTGCCCCAAGCGTACAAAAATCTGTTTCCCTGCCCGATGCTATTGCCCTACGTGCCGCTTACATACCGATTCCTAGTTGGAAGCACCAGCGGGACCCATTAACAAGCAAAAGCAAGGCTGTTATTAGATAAACGTTTCCAAAAGTACCAGCGAGACCAAGTTACTCACGCACTCTCTTGTCTACACGTGGAAGCAAGACGATCCTAAAGTGACTGTTCTTAGTTAGAGCATTTTTACAAGAGTTGGGAACTTAGATGAATTAGCTCAAGTCACGCTGTTACTTTGGCATCATTTCAAAAGTTACTAATAGGAGTACAACATATTTGAAAGACACATTCTGGGATAACAAGCTCGAAAAAAAGCAGCTACAAATAACCACCCGGACACTGGCGACCCAGTCTCAAAATCATTGCGACACTCATGTTTGCCTTTCGAAATCCGTGTGACCCTTTCACGAAAATATGCTTGGTCACTCTTTCTGAAATTTGGCAGCGTTCCAAAACGCATGCCACTTGGCAGCAATCCAAAGACAAAGATCAGTGTATTTCATCATAGTTTCTCTGTCTGCTGCCTCCTCGTTTGCCATGTTCCACGGACCAGGGGTGTTAATGGGTAAACAACGATTCCAAAATATATTACGTAGTGATCATGTTCTGAACGTTTTCGATGGCTTAGCTAAAAGTGCGATTGCTAGCGATCCGTATTTTGTATTTTTTAAGAGAAATTTCACCTTTGAAAAAATCTTAAAATGTCATAGACAGTTACTCAAGTCGAGAACTCATTCTGAGATTTCACACTGGCGAAGAAAGGGGAAATGGAGATGATAAAGTATAAACCTTATAGCTTTCAAATGCGCATGGTTTTCAGGTTTTCCGCCAGTTGCAAGACCTTTACGGTCACTTATGGAGTTGCTGTCCAGATATCAGCCGGTTGCGCGATAAATTCTTTGATACTGAAAACGAAAGCGAGAAACTTGTCATCAGCTCTCCAAAATCACCGAAACCTTCAATCAGCCCCGTAGAGGTAGGCGTTCTAACTTTCAGAATTGCCTTTCAAGCGAATCCTATTAAATCTCTTTTTTTCAGCCTTCCTTCACTCCAGGAGGAGGAATCGGTGCGCTTATTATGGCCAGATGTAGCATAAACACTACACAGCAGTGTGGCAATTGATTTTTGTTTAATCTTAGATCTCATACAGGTATTTTATTGGTGTATTGTGAATCATTAAGGCTATTACGTGTCTGTGGTTTTGACAGTAACCGTTTCCCCTTTCTCAACAACGTACGGTTCGACAATTTCGAGATCCTTTTGAATGTTTACAATAAAGAAGACAATATGTTGTTGATGATTACTATTGATATCTATTTATTTCCTTATTAATATGTTACGCACATGGCGTGACATGACTAGAACTATTAATGAAAGCATTCAGAAACCTGAACAATAACAGAAGAAACAAAAGCATCCATCAAGTCAGCTCAAGTCCAGCTCCGGAAAAGTCAGAGAAAGGATTGATGTCCAGAGCATGTATGAATTCATATCGTTTTGCGGGCAAATAATGAGGCATGGATACCATCTCCGTGACCACAATACTGAACTTGTAGTCATTTAGCAGTCACATACAAGCGTATCATTACATTTATTTTCAAAAGATTAGACCCGAACTATGATTATCTATTCTTGTAGTTAGTTTATGAATAAGTATGTTTTTGTCCTTTGTAAAGAACGCCAAGGGCGTATTGAATAAATAAATAAAATATCCTTAGTGTAAAGGCTCAGTGGAGTCTGTCCATGCCCCCTGTTTGCAGCAAAAAATTTCTTTGATTATACATAAGCAACTTATAAGGAGGAAGCGGGTGTAAGAGTGTACAGGCAAAATTCGACCAACCCATTTGGGAGGGGGCGGGGGGGGGGGGGAGAGCAGCAACTCCGAAATAAGACAATGCGCAGTTAATCAGGCCCAAGGCTATATCCATCTAATAACGAAAGGTGCCCCGGATCCAATCTAACTTGTGGAAGAAGTATAAATAGTCAAAAAGGCAACATCGGACGGCTTATGGTGAAAGCTACTCTAGATGATCCTGTTACGTCCATCGATGCAGCTATGTATAAAGAGGAACGAACAAGACATGGAAGATCCTAAATGATTAGTACAAGCGACGATGTGACTTTGTCGATGAAGCCGATCGGGTTGACGGTTGTAACGGTGTAATGACAAAAAGGGTAGCATGTGCGCCAATACGACCAATGAGGTTTACATTCAGCTTGTGACTAGATTTACTCGATTAAGTTGAAGAGAATACGCCAGGAAGTAGCGAATAAAGTATAAGCTGCAGCCCTGACCCACGTACTTGGGATTTAAGCGGAATCAATCGGTGCAGAGAATTGACGTGAATATACATACAATGCAAAAATACTATTTAAAGCCTAAAATAGATATAAACCCCAGTGTGGGAAGGTAGAGCCCAGCTATGCTTTGATAATCATTGTTTTGATTTAGTGGGAGCAAAGAGAGAACACAATGAGAACTCGAATAAGCAAGTAGAGGAGGGTGCTTGTCGGAGAGAACGAAAGTGACCGACTACTTCTGTGCCTCCGACGACGGCCTTGCCGAAACGTGAGGCATTCAAAGTGTATCATCATAAAAACTTGTACGGCATAAGAAGGTCAAAGTGTATTAGGTATTGTATTAGGTTGTCGGATAATTTCTGTTACACTTTGAAATTTCTGGGGAATTTCAGCTTTCTGAAAACCCCCAAATTTGCAACACGCTTAGGACACAGCAGGGTCTACCCATCAGCAAGATTGATGCCGCAAGTGCATAATGACCAACAAGTTTACGGCAGTTTTGTAAAAGCAGTCAAAATTTTCAGTTTTTGTCTGATCTTTTTCTCTGCACCTCTTGCGCTTTTCGTCTTCCAGAATTTTTTTAGAACGTATTTTGGCATTGTCTCTTACATGGAGGCATTCCGGTCAAAAACTCTCCTAAATTCTTCTTTTATGTGCATCGTATAGAAATAAATACGGAAAACATAAAAATGATTGTTTGAAATTTTTTGAAGACGTTTTCCTCGCAAAAATCCCAATGACTGCAAAGATGGCACACACTGAGATTTGAACCGCTCAGAAAAACGTATGCAGACATGTCTGCGCTATCCCCCTATATTAGCCAAACGCTACAGACTATGCCCTACCTGATTACCACATTGTCCGATCTATCGCTCACCTGAGAGAAGCCAGCTCATTTACAAAAATGGGAAGAAACGAATTCTCAGCCACACAATGGGTGTTTTGCGCATAGATCGCGGATACGACGGTACCCTTGTATAGGCATTTTGACCCTGCCCACACGCCGTAAATATAAGATCTTTCCAGAGCTTCTGAGATTTTTAAAATTGAAATAAAAAGTGTAAAAGAAATTATCCGACAACCTAATATCTACAATGGGTACTATTTGCAAAGAATATTCAAAGTCTGCATATGCGTGTTTCTATATATACAGGGTTGGCCGATAAGTATGGGAGTTACAACATGTAATATATTCTTTTTCTGAAATGATCTGTCATGGCGGCGAATATGCCTGTAGCTTACGGACAGTCTCTATATTAAGATAATTGAAAATCGCGCGAACTGAAGTCTTCTGATGCAAACAGGACTCCTAAGTCTGCTTTCTCTTGAGAGGCGCTTCGGCGCGTTTAATTAACACCATATTATAGTACCGTGTCTTATCTTGGAGAGGAGAATTTGTTGCTGTTATAGCACTGTGTTATTCCTCGGACTGTTCTCTACAAAACTTCAGATCTTAGAATCTATTCGATTATTATTCGGCTTATTTCAACGGATTTGTAATAGGTACATTCTTCAAGTAGCATTTTTGACGCATCAACTTCAAAGTAAGCTGCTGAAGTCTGCATGCATGCGCAGGAATCCAGTCTTGCTCTTACAGAATCTTGTTTGCTATGAAAAATCATTGAACGAAAAGTGACGCCCATACATTTCGGGCACCCTGTAGTTGATTCGTTGACTGCGCGGACAGGAATCACTGCACCGCGAGGTAAACACTTGCCCCACTACAAATTTGCCATCGTACAAGTCGTACTCTCGCGAGAATTTAGTCGCGCCGCGCTGGTCCGCGGGGTTTGAGCAGTCTGTGCGGTCAACGAATGGACGATACAATACCGCTTGTTATTTGTGAAAAAAAATCACCGTGCTCCGCCGGAGTTCGCCAGACTTCGCGTTGCACTACCATATCTTGCTTCAGACTGAGCCAGTTCTGAATCTAAAAGCACCATTCAACTCAGCTCGACGCAATGCATCTTTTGATATGCAGAAGTGCCTGTTTGGGCACGATAGTCGATCAAGTACTACGAATCCTTTGAGATTCTTGCCCATGGTTTGTTGCTCATAGTGTTCAGTTATAACACCACCATCACCTTACCGTAACAAAAATTTGGAAACATCGTTGAATTTTGACGGTGCTCAAAAAGGCAATTTAAATACCAAAAGATGCCCTCGTCGAGCTGAGTTAAATGGTATTTTTTGAATTCGGAATTTTCCACTCTAAAGCAAGAAACCGCGATGCAACACAGCGTTCGGCGAACTACGGCGGAGTGCGATGATTTTTCTCACAAATAACGAGCGGTATTGTTACTTTTGCAGGTTCAAAGGCGACTCCATCTACAAACAACGAAGACTAGGTACTCGAAAAATCAGTCCATTCCATTCTGCGTTAACTATGAAACTGCACAGAAACGGGACTTTCTAACGGAAAACACATAATTTCTACCAAAGTTATTACATCCACATACCCAGTAGCAACAATAATATTCATGGGGATAAAAACGATTCACATCAAAAATGTGATGATGGGCGTCGTAACAAGTTTACGCATTTTGTGAGTTTGTCCTTTTTCAAGGACAGAATGAGATGGAATAAAAGAACGAGTTTCTTGTCAGAGTTCCTTTGTACCGATCTTTTGGGGCGCGCAATAAAAAATAGATGTTTGCGAGCTCGCAACTCTCAAATTCCAAGTAAAAGGGGGCAGCAAACGTCTCGAAATTGTTTCTGCAGTATTCTAATTTTGAGAAGTTCCAAGATATTTCAGTTCTTTTTAAAACAACTTGCAAAGGTATCGTCGATTTGTTGACCGCACGGAGTGCTTAAACCATGCGGCCCTCGCGCGGCGCTGCTACCCTATTTTCAGGTGTATAAGCCGCACCCTTTTCACTCTAAAGGCGAACACGCCAAAAGACTGACTGTCATCATGGAGCGCGTTAAGTGAGAGCAGTACGCGATAAGGCGACCGCTTCGCGAGACATATGCGCGGCGGCACGCCTGGGTCTGCTCGCGTTTAGAGCGAAGAGGGTGCGGCTTATACACCTGAAAATAGTGTAGTTGTCGCGAGAGCACGACTTGTACAATGGCGGATTCATGGGGCAAGCGTTTGACCTCGCGGCGCGTGTTGCGCAGTGATGTCCAGTCCGTGCGGACAGCGATTCAACTATATATGGCTTATACAGGCTATTTTCAAAAATTTCGTAACGCTTTTTCAGAAATGAGCGCCCACTCTTCCAATCCACCCCCACGTCCACCACCATCTCCTCCCTCGTTTCACCATTCATTTTCGGTAGTACGATGCTATGTTATCTATAGCACTGCTTCCATTCACTTTCCACAAAATCTTCTTTTCACTGAATTTCAGTTTGTGAAATACTCTAAAATGTGTCTGCCAAATCAATACCCTTTTTGAGCGCATGGCAGCAAATAAGCTCGTAAGTGCATCAAAAAGCGCTTCAATTTTTGTGTTTCAGCAATCTAAGACAGTCGAAGACGGGGCATTTTAGCATTGCAAATGGATTTGAGCATAACTTACGTGGTAAAGAATTTTTTAGCAATCAATGTTAAAACGTCTTGAGCATAGTGTACAATTATGCGTGCACAGAAGATTGCAGAAGACTTTTTACTTCAATGTGCGAACGCTTTTCTAACCTGCTGGCCTTCTCATTTCTTTCTTTTTTAACTCACTTTTCTGCGTATTTCTGGAGCATTTAAAGGGCTGCGTCCAAAGATGCTGGTGTCAAAGCTGTGCCAGCGCTGTTCCAGCACCTTGCGGGAACTTACATGCACACGCGCCATATTGATCAATCGATCGACGTTCCGGCACCGCACTGAAGCGGTGCTGGCGCTACGCTCGCACTTCCAGCTCTAGGCAGTCCAAACACCTTTTTATTTTCTAGATGTGGCGGGTATTTCTCCTAGCCATTGTGGCACTTTGTCTAGCAGATCAGTGCACGACAGTAACAGAGACATACGGTGGCCTTCCAGGGGACGCTTCCCCCGAATTTGTTAAAGCAATGGAAAATGCACTAGGAAGAAAATTGGCATGTTTTTGTTGCTTTATTGTTTGTTATATAATAAAATAATACTGTACATTCAGACGCCAGACGAGCTTTTGATGAAGGTCATAGTTAGCGATAGAACGTCGCCGAAAATAACAGTGTATGGAGTAGTTGAAGCAAATGTAAGTATAAAGTTGAGACCTTTATGCGTTCAAAATCCTCAAGAGGCAATTAAGCACAGCTTCTATATATAAGGTCAACAAGAAAGCTCGCTTGCACCATTCTGAAAAATTCGTGACTTTTAGTTTTTCTAACCTATAGGCTTGAAAGTAAGTCATACAGTAATCAATGAAAGGTATCATTTTTGGGCGAGTTGCATACATGTTTTCACGGTGCGCCGCAACAAATCGGTGTTGGAATACTCGTCCACGCTTTTCGAGAGGGGTTTTGGAAACGAGGGTTTTCGGTGACTTCATGCGATTTTTCGTTCGAATTTGAAATCAGGGAAGTCGAAAGGGCCAGAAACGCTGAAAACGTGGAAGTCGAGATTTTGCCTTCACGGACTTTCATCAAGCTGCTAGGACGTCCCGCAGAGACGGAGCGCGCCATTGCCCGCACGGCGCGAATTGTGGACTAGAGATACTAGCCCCTGAACGAGGCAGTCCAAAGAAGCGACTCCAGGAAGTTCGACTAGCGACGATCAACATAATGCGAACGAGCGGCAGCGTATTATGCCACAGAGTGAAGGAGCGATACATCGACATCGCGTGTGCGCAAAAAACAAAATAGAAAAGGCAGACCATTTTCGGTTATGGGATTATCAACTTTACTACACTGGAAAAAATAGTCGCCAAAACGGAGTAGCAATCATTGTCAGCAGTAAATACCGCTAGTTAGTGAATGAGTGAAGCGTACTTCGGAGAGGATGATGCCAATCAGGGTAGAGGAAGTCACACCCCGAGTAGTATCGTGCTACGCCCCGCAACCCGGATGCACTGGCGCTGAGAAGGACGCGTTTGGGGGGGGGGATTTCGATAACCTGCTACATACATTCGATGAGGCAGAGTACATCTTCGAGGAGGCGATCTTGATGGACCGCTGGTCAAACATGACGGGTTTGAACGATATCACGGAGGAAATGTTTACGTCCAGGGAAATGAAGACGGAGAACGCATCCTAGAAGCAGCCGAAGCAAACGACTTAGCCATGGCAGCCGACTACTGGATGTTGCACTGATGCTACCTGTCGATGACGACGGATATTATACCTACAGCGACAACTGTATTTGCACTGCAACATCGCCTGCTCGTGCCAAATCTTCGACTAAAAATTTATTTACATCTACGAGCCAGAAGAACGATGACCAAGAGGATCGAATGGGTAGCTTTCCTAGCATCACCAGCAATTCAGGAAAATTTCCAACAATTTTAATTTGTGGACTGATGATGGAGAGTAGTTTGATGACAAATGGAGTAGGTCACTTCGCAGCTACGATCAAGGACCGAAGAGGTTTCGGGGCCCACTTAACTTGGAGGCCGGTTTGTCGACAAGCAGATCTGATGGTGTCCGAGTCAGTCCAGCAAGTGGTCAGGGAGAAGAAAGGAAAGAGGCCTTTAGGAAAAATATATCAACCGGCTGCTGCCCAACACCGAGCGAAGCACACATCGATCACGTTATGCACATACGAGATGCACAAGGAAATCTCCTGACGAAACTGAAGGCAATACTTAAACGATGGAGCGATTACTACGAAGGCTTATGCAATGAGGAGTTCCCGCACCCACCAGTCCCGCAAGAAGCGCCAGTGTTTGGCCAGTGCCTCGGATCACAGAGACGGAGGTTGTGCAATCACTGAAAGAAGATGGGAAAATGGCAAGTGGTAAAGCACAGGGGGCGCACGCCGTTTCTGCGGAAAAATGGAAGTTGATGAGACAAGCTGGAGTGACTTTCCTCACATCACTCTCTAATCAGATCATAGCCGAGGAGAAGATACTACGAACAATGGTCGAGGAGTGTTAACCCTATCTGAAAGAGCAAGGGCGGCGTCAATGACTGTTTAGCATACCGGCCTTTACGACTCTTATGCCATACGAGAAAAATCCTTGAACGAGTCATCGACACGCGTATCGGGCTATCGTGGAAGCCACTCCGAATCAATGCGGTTTGTGTGGGAAGGATCCCTACCATAAACGCCATATACACTTGCGAGTATTGATGAAACGCCACCAAGAAACCGATTCCGATTCACTCCGTATTCCAGGATTTAGAAATTGATTGAATACCACACGAGTTGATCTAGTGCGCACTGCGACAACACGATGTCCCAGAATAGTACGTTTGCTAGATTAAACTTCTTTATACGATTATGACTGGGGCCGTACGCTGTACACAAAAACACCAATTCCTTTTTTTCGATTTTCAATCAAGTTGAAGTACATCAAGGACCAGCATTCTCAGCTCTGCTTTTCGTAGTGTGCATGGATACCGTGGAGAGAGACATCCAACTGTCGCACCCGTGGGCGCTTTTCTGCACGGATGACTTTGATCTAGCAAGTGGATCGAGACAAGAGCTTGAGGGAGCAACCACGAGAGGGAAGGCGCGTCTGTCCGAGTATGGATTGCGACTGAACGTCGAAAAGACTAAGTTCCTGGTATGTGTAGAGCAAACAGACGGAACAGTCAGCATCGACGGATAGCCGCTGAAGAAAATTACCGCTTTCAAATGCCTTGAGCCCGTGTAGCTTCGGATTGAAATACGGTTACTGATGCACGTGGTAGGACGAATGCGGCTTGGCTGAAATGACGCCTAGTAACAGGTTACTGTACGATCGTCAAATTTCAGTGTATCTTAAACCGGAATATATCGGACAGAGTAGGACCACTAGTCCTGCACGAAGCGGAGTGTCGGCCAGTCACCGAGAAGCACAAGCAGATTCTGAGCGCGATATAGAAGCACATGATAAGACGGATACTTGGACTCATGCAAAGAGACTGCGCCACAAACACTGATGTGCGGCACATTTTTGGAGTTGCTCCGATCGCAGATGAAATGTGAGAGCAAGGTTACGATGTTACGGTCACGTTTTACGAAGTGATGATAATACAGTAGCAAAAACAGCATTTTACCTAAATTCACAGGGAAGAAGAGCAGAAGGCCGGCCGAAGCAAAGCTGATTGGATACCAATTGGAACGGCCTGCACACCCACACCACGGGAAGCCTCCGATTGAGTCAAATGGAAACAAAAATACAACAACGCCGACCCTGCTCACGCGGGACAATGGCGAGGATGAATAAGAAGAAGAAAAGATTTTGAGCAAGCAGAAGAAAACGGAAAATTTGCTTTTTTGGCATTTTTTCGACAATCATAACTTTCTACAAAGAAATTCAATCAGCACTAGCTTTTCATAAGTGAAAAGAGGCAAAAACATATTATACCAGCTCATCCGATTTTCACTGCAACTTTCAGAAATTTACGGCCAGATACATAAAAATCAAAATCGAGTAGCTTTCTTCTACCGCTTTTATCTCTACGCATGCTCGATAGAAGGCCGTTCAACATTACTACGAAGAGCATGATTTACTCTTTCAAATAAAAATGAAAGCGAGCAGATTGGTTGAAAACATCACAACTCATGAATTTTTGGAATGGTGTGAACGAAATTTTGTGTTAACCTGGTACAATGATAATCTTTAGAAGATTACATGGGAATTCGATGGACCAGATATGAAGAATGCTACTCGAGTACTTTTCTTCAAGCCATTCGAGGAACTGGGTAAATGCAGGCCAGACGCGTTGTTCATCCAAATCCAAACCAAACCATTCCCTTTTGAGGAACTGACAGTTAGCAAACAGAAAATTTGATCAAATTTCTTTGGGAAGATTCGTTACAATTGCGAAATTGTGTACATCGAAATTGCAATGAATCTCTCTACGAAATATGTTTGAATTTTTATTCTTCTGTGAATTTTTCATGAAAAAAGTAACAGAATTTATCGTTGAAGGGCAGTCAAATAAAAATTTGAGATTCTCCGAACATTTGCAGATTACAAATTCCTATTTCATTAGTGTATTCTATGATCTTATCTTGTGGCTATTACTAGCACAGAGTCAACAGTTTTACAAATACTTGCCTGCATGAATTAATTGAACCGTAGATTCACAAATTAGTTCTGCAACCTGTATGTTTTAGGAAGAAGCGTATTAGGTCAAGTTTATCTGGACATAGAATAGAAGCAAAAATAATTCATAAAATCAACAAAAATGGAAGCTAATAATATTGCTACAATGGACGTTGCATAGCCTGAGGAAACACATTTTCTAATCTGCTTGGATCCACTTTTGGCATTACTGACTGATACATTGAGTTGAAATCATTATCGCGTTTCTGAAAAATAAGGTTAAAATTTTTCGAAAGTATGTACTAGCAGAATTTCAAAACTCAATTGTAAACTCCATTCTGAAAAAAATCCTTATGTGACAAGTTTTTTTGCCAAGTTTGGCCCTTCAGATTTTGCAAATTGAGCAAACAAAATGCAATTATTGACTCTTACATTTTGCATCTGTGGTTTCCTTTTTCGTAACTCTGCCTTTGGTTCGGATTTTTCGATACTGAGGATTGTCATGATTGTTTCATGATTTCCTCGCATTTTCTCTCCTGTAATGAAAAACCCGTTCAAAATCAATAAAAAAATTCCTCTGAATAATAATAGGCTATCCTAAACACTCTCAACGTGCAAATTTTGCTAGAACGACAAATTCAAGACTAAATGAGGAGCTTGCCATTTGGGCCCACTCCAGCTGCCACTGTTTTTGTAATCTCAGCTTTTCTTTCTTCAAACTGGTCTCCATACACGGCTTTTGCTATATTTTCCTGAGCATTCACAATTCATTCGCAGCAAAAGCAGATGTTGATACAAAAGAAACAGTCTTTCTATGTTCTCCAATGCGGAAAAATCCAGCGAACCTTCACATCCACCCCATTCTTGAGTACATATTCTTCTAAAAATGCAGTCATTTTGTCTTCTCGTTTGGATCTGCTGGGAGGTTTAGCTATGTCTCTAATGATAAGAATGATTGCATAGATTAAGGCAGGAATATAAAAAGCTGCAACATAAGCATAGTTGTATAGTCCATTTATGACAGCTTCCTGAAACTTCCAATTAAGTTAGAAGATTCACAAAGATGAAACTGAGTAAAAGTTTGATGTGATGTTGATTTTAATTTTCAAATAAGCTCTGCCTCATCTCTGACAACATTGTTAGTATTTGCTTGAATAAAGCAACTGAGATAGTATGAAAAATATGCATTTTGTGCAAGAGAAGAGGGCTCCACGGGGCAGCGGGGGCAGGGCTTAAAAATAGGGGCGGGGTTTGCCAAGAAGGCGGGGTCAACCCCATGATTGTAAGACGTACAGATTTGGAAACAACTTGCACTAGTCCTGAACCCATAATATTCCCATCTATTGCACATTCATAGTTTCCTTCGTCTTCCTCCATTAATGGCCAAATATCTGGAATATTCAGAAGCACAAGTTGAAAATAGCAAATCACAAAATTTGACTAACTCAATATTCCTTCTGTTGATACAGTAACTCTCCATTCTAATTTTCTATTTTGAATAAGATTACTATTAAGATACCATGTGACTGTCGTTTCGGTCTAAAAACAATGTCATAGAATATCACTGAGCAAATTCGGTGATGGAAGGCTTACATAATTTCCCCAAGATTTTCTCATTTGCTCGTTACACGTTAGTGAGAGGCTTATCCCAGAAAGCATTTCATGTAAAGCATTCTTATCATCCAAATCGATCTCAACGCTTTTCATTCCACCTGTTAATAACTGGATTTTACCTAGGTTAATCATCGATTTCTAAGGATCATAACCATCAGGATTTCGCAAGCGCAGAAATGTTGAAGTTCATTATAACTGATTTTATCGCGCATCGTCACTGCGCAACATAGCACTAAAAAACACTGTTCATATCCTTGACGTATTGAACAAGCTGCTGCGACGCGGCTGCGACGCCTCCCGTCGCGCGTAGAAAAACCATGAACAGAATGCAAATATCGAGCTCGCGCTATACTTTGGGTTGATTTTTGCACTATCCAAAAAATATTCAACAGTGAAAGTAACTTACCCAAGGAAAATGCGCTCATTATGGCCCGTTTTGTTCGAATGCTAAAAATCGGTTTCTTCTTTTTACGTCGTAGACGTTGCTGTAACCAAGGTGGTAGGAAGCTTTTCTTTGTCGTCTTTGGAGGCGGACTTCTGAATTTTGGCTATTTAATATGGTAACAACAAACTTGATAAAAGTAGAACAAACGTGGATGGTGGCAGCGGTGGGCATCTGCCTTCAGCCACTCGAGCCTCTCTTTCATCGGCTCGCAGCCAGTTGCACTCTATGTCATATTGGAATTTTTTCGCGTCTTTTAGCCAATTTTTGGCTTTAGCTGCTTTTTCTTTCAAAATCTGCAACACACATTCTAATGGTCCCAGTGCAGTGCCGAAGATTATCGAGAACCTCACTGATGCTAGCTTCAACTACGAAAACATCAAGCAATAATACGGTGCTGATAAAAACTATGGCAGACGCTATCTTGATAGGCGATGCTATAAATGAATCGAACTTCGCGCTGTTACTACGAAAGCACTCCGTTTTGCATGAAATTCCAGAAAATTACAGGTTGAAGTCTGAAAATAACTCACTCAGACAATTCATCGGAACTTCCGCAGGGCAAGCAAAATTTGCAGCGGCTCCGCAGGATTTTGTTTACCGAAAAGTGGAAGAAAATGAGAACTTCCGCAGGATTTTCATGTCAGACTGGATGACAACGGGAACTTCCGTAGGGCTTTATACAAAGCGCTGCGGAACTTCCAGAAAATGCAAGCGGTTCCGCAGCACTTTGACATGCCAGTACTTCCGCAGGGTTTTGAATGTGTTGTCTAATAGATGACCTCACCCAACAACTAGAGTACATTATCGAACATATCAGTCGTAGTGCAGAGGATAGTAGGTGAGTCCACAGTCAATAGAGTAAGGTTCAAATCTCGCTTCGATGTTCTCTTTTGCTGTTGTGGTTCGCAATCTTCGGAACTTCCGCAGCACCTCATTTAAGAACTTCCGCAGGTGGCCCGGCGGAACTTCCCAGACGTTCTGCGAAAGTTCCGGTCAGTTGTCTGAGCCTCACAACTGTCCAATTCCTTTTTTCTGATACTGTCTTCTGTGTTAAACATAGTCAGCGTATGTGATGATTTATTACTTGATGTATGCACAAAATTTGACATTATACCCATAGAGAAGCGTATACAAACAGATTCATATGAGGATAAAAAATGACAACGAAAGATCCGCTAATCATTAAGACCAAGCAGTAAAAAAGTTGACTAGATCAGCTAGAGCATAACATGACAGCAAAAGTGCTCAACACTCATTCTCTCATTATGCTTAGAAAAATAACAAAAGAGAGTTAGAAACGGGAAAATGCTGAGTAAGCAAGTGATTTCAGATGAGGTGAGCGATATTTACAACATAATTGCGCTAAGAAAAAAGGCCTCATTGGAATGCATCAGCTTCTTGTTGATAACAATGTTGGTATGCTGTCCGTACAAGGTTATATGGGAAACATGCTTCAAGTACGTCCATAGACAGCCATCTGCATTTGTTTACAAGCTGAAAATATCAAGTACTTATATTTTAGGCAAAAATGTGAGATAAATCATTTTTGACGAGTTTGAGGTTTGTTTATGCCATCAAAAATGCATCTAGAGATCTAGGTCCATCCTTCCAAAAAAAATCTCCACCGAAAGGAACGGGAGGAACGGGATGTAAACTTAAATAAAAAAGCTACTTACAAATTCTGAAACCAAAAATATGAACATTAAGAAAAAAGCAATAATTAATACCTGTTCAAGCATGATGTAGAGGGCTGACTGGTTATTTGTGGTATCGAAACGGCCATCCATTTCTTGTGCTGCTCGCAGAATGCTACTCGATGCAAGCTGAAGGGAACACCATACGAAAGTGAACCTTCAAACTCTCCTAAGATGCGCTTACCGCCAAGAACTCTTTCATGCGTAAATGTATGTCTCCCCTTCCATGATGATGGAATAACGCCCCAGCCATTGTGTTGACGGCCAAGGGAATGCAATGAGTATTATTCAGACTTGCTAAACATGTGAAATCGTCATAAAAGCAGATAAAAATAGCAGAAAAAGACCTCGTAAACTTGGCTTATATGTTGCGGATTCTACCATTGCCAACCTCGGGATGCTAACTGCTATAGCCACCAACAGCAGACAACTTATTTGATAGTGCTCGTCAGGATTTAACTGTAAAACAAACAATTCAGTATTTCACAATTCTAAAGAAATAGGCAGTCGTACCTGCATACTCTGCGCACGAACAGCATTGGACAACGCGATGTCGATAGGTCCTTCGATACCCATCGCAGCTCCCAGTTCGCCCAAAGCCTTTAAAACAGATGCATAGAAGTTTCATGGGAAGCGCAACAGCATATAAATACTCACTGCCTTTCCAGCATCATCCATGCTAGCATATAAGTTTGCAAATGACGAAGTGAGAAATGGTAACCTATGCAGTAAAACCTAAAAAATTACCTCAAATAATGCCTCTAGAATTATTGGAAGATTTCACCTTGATTACCTATACATTGAGCCCGTATTACAATTATGCCGTCTGTGGCAGATATGTCTGGTATAAAAAAGTGGTGATCCGCAAATAAGAGCTTTGCAATTTTAAACAGCAAAAACGCACCCATTAACAATGGGAACTGCTCAAAAAATTCCCAGGCAAGCAAAACTACTATGAAGTTTGAGATAAAATAAACAGCCAGAAAAAGATAACAAAGTCATGGCTATTGGAAACATTGCTAAAATTTTGGTATGATATTTGAGCACTGGCCAAGATTGGTATCGATCTTTATTTCTCGGCTAACGTTTCGGAGTACAACTCCTTCTTCGGAGCCTGAAAGATCAAAAACTATGCGAAACTGTTCTTGCAAGCAAGGTTACGGTCTCTGTCTTCATCTTGCAACTACCTTGTGTTGAAAAGTATCTGTTAGGTGACTGAGTGCTTACAAGAACAGTTTCGCATAGTTTTTGATCTTTCAGGCTCCGAAGAAGGAGTTGTACTCCGAAACGTTAGCTGAGAAATAAAGATCGATACCAACCTTGACCACTGCTCAAATGTCATACCAGTTATATGGACGATGCCAAGATCAATTGAAAATCGAGCTCTAAGAGTTATTGCTAAAATTTATTGCCACAAGTTTATGAAAAAGAAGAGGATGTAAACATAATGGCATACCTGTTCCAAAGCGACATGCAGAGCATCTCTAAAGCTGAATATCTGCCCAATTATGGATGTTCGTTGCAAAATCGCATCAGCAGGCGAACTCGTTGCCCCCTTAATATTCACAATATACACAAAAATGCTATGTGAATCCAAAGTTACCTTCTTTTCCTTAGGTTCATGTGACAAGACTTGCATCACTTCTTTCATGCGATCATTACAGTCAAAATTAGTTCTAGCTGTATGCAAAACATCCCTATTGGCAAGGACAATCTAAAAAGAAAATACAAGGACAATCTAAAAAGAAAATAAAGCATCATATTCAAGACTAAAGTAGATCGATACCTTGTTCAGCTCTCCTATTTGACTTGCAACATGCCACGTAAGCCTTTCAGCCAGATATTTTACTCCGTATGGACCGATTATCTGAGCCAAACATCGCAATTCTGGAATTTGCAACATGCGAGAGTTTGAGACAAAATTGATACAAGTGAAAACCTCGAGGATCTGTATATTGTTCAGGAGCAAACTCGATTCCTTCTCCGCTGGAAATCATGGCCTGTAAATGCTCACTCCACAACATATGACCTGCAGACGCACGTCGTAAAACTACTTCCAAATACCTGAAGGTAGTCATGTGCAAGAGAGAACATAAACATTCATCTTTGAGGAAGGATTGTATGAACGAAAAATACAAAATCTGAGGTGATACGCTTGCCATTTGGTATAGATGTAGGTCATGGTCTCCTTATTGCGCGAGTCAAGAGGCTGAGTTTGCTGCAGTAGCACATTGTTGAACAACCGGGTAATATCAAGGGGTACTGTAAGTGGGTAAAAATTGCCGACACATACAACCAGGGAAAAATATTTGATTACCGCAGGCGTCAATGTTCTGTAGCACAGTCATATACGACTGAATTATCATCAACAGGTCAGAAGGTCGTCTAGGAGTTGAGGGAGAAGCTAAATTTCAGAATTATCCATGTCTCTACAACTGTTCGAACAGTAAAACATACATGGATCCACAGCCATCGCTAGTATGAGATCGACAAATTTGTGTTCAATGTGTTGGCTCAGATATTCACGGGGAGCAAAGAAGTGCTCAGATATGAAAAGCTGGCGATATTGGCCGATGCCGGCGCAGAGTTCGACTGAAAAAATTGATTGTTCAGAGAAAGAAATAACTAAAAACACGAAAAAGAAACGTACTGAGTGTTGTCTGCAATTTGTCAGGATAAGTAAGTGTTTGTCGGTCGACACGGTAGCTCTCGTCTCCAGCGGGAGCAGGATCTTTCTGTGCTGCAGCTGCACTTTTTCCGCCTTTAGTGCGGAGCATCTGAGAGACAATCTGCGCAGCTATCTAAATTAGAGAAAATCATACGATATCACTTTCATGGAGACGATGGAAGTGAAATACAAAAGTTGCACAGTAACCATTTAGCGCATGAACATAGACGCACGAATGAACATATACGAGATAAATCTTCATATGCTAATGAGCTTACCGTGCTTGGAGATGTCTGTTCTGCAAGACGTAACTCATATTCGCATAATGCTCCCACCACGTCAGTTATCGACTGGCACACATCGTCCAAAATAGAGTTACATAATGCTAAGGACTGAAAAAGACTACATTGGAAACTGACAAAAAAAACTGAACTAAGCAAGACCTTTTCAAGTATGTGGTTTTTCTCCTCTGGGCACATATCATGGAGGGCTGAGCTAAAGTGTCCGCAAATTCTCGCAAAGCATAGCGCGAAGCGAGACTGTGATGGAAGAGTCAAACAGCTTTTCCACTGTCTTTCTAAGGTCTTGATGTAGAAACTGAAGCGTAATCAAAAATAGAAAGGCAAACTGATGAAGTCTATGGAGGCTTACCAGTAAACACTCAAATCACTAGTCTCTTTGAGCATCTCGTCTTGCAGGTCAATCATTTTCAAGTGGAAAACATTGGTATTCATGATCACTGCCAGCTTCCGATTTTTGATAAGTAAGAAGGGTGACCTTGCCATACTTGTTCTCGCCTAGAAGATAGAAAGTATAGAAACAAAGTTCAACCTATAAATAAATCAAATAAATATTCAGGGAGCAAAACCTCTGTGCATTCAAAAAGAGATAAATTTACACGAAAAAGCATGTGAAATTGAAGAAGTTGCAATATTACCTGAAACCTGAACCAGTCTAAGCGTAGTGCCCTCAGATCAGTATCAGAGTTTATTGAGGAGATGGAAGATGCAAAATCGGAGAGAATGGTGGCTTCATCGTCACTCAGATCACCGAGAGTGGAGACTAACTCACGAGTCATAATAGCATCATAGCCATTGACGTACTGAACAAATAAGCGATAAGGACCACGACCCGATATGTATAAGCTTACTTTGAGATAGTACCGCTGAATCACGTCACTATACTTGACCACTAGCTGGCGTAGTTCCAGCATGTGATAAAGAAGCTCAGGCAACTGACGATCAACCAATTCATCGCATTGCTTGCTCCCCTTCTTACTAGACGATGGCCACTCGCTCAGATGCCGAAGAAGCCAAAGCACCTAAAACAAGCAAGTCAAGGAAATAAATAAAAAGGAACACAGTCGAATGCAGAATGCGACTTAACTCATCTCTTGTGAAGGATAACGCCATCCATACGAAAAGCATTTTCGGACCTAGCAGTCCTGGCTGATCTTTGATAAATAAGCAAAGCTCTCGGAGAGCCACTCGCAAAAATCTTCTACGATCAGCATGGATCGAAGCGCTAAAGCATCAATAAGCGTCTAGAAAAAACAGTGCAATCGAAAGAGTTTGTACCTTTGCTGCAGAGCGATCGAAAAACAGTCTTTCACCTCCTGGGATCGTTTATGGTATCCCTTTATGGAGTCAAAAAATTGCTGTATTTCATGATGCGTTTGAAAAATCTGCAAAAAACAAGCCTACTAGCAGAGGCCAGATATAGCATTCATTAAATTAACCTCATCTCTAAATAATCTTATACACACTCCCATTTGCAAAGACATTTGCCATAAATGGAAAATCGTCTTGTCGTTCAACATGGCAGAGTGACAAACAGTAGTACATACTAAAACAACCAACTTGGCATTGTACCCATATACGATGAAAAGAGAAACTTACAAACAATCCAGCGATCCATCACATCCAATGACAGATACTCACAAGCGATCTGCAGAAGAGGAATGTAGTGGGTTATCATGCAGTTACGTAAAGCCTACCGTATCTGTCTGAGCAGCATACAAAATCTGCTGTGGATTAGCCGTGAGAGATAGGATTTGTGCGTTTCTCCAAGTATTGGCAGTGATATTGCGCCGCATGTAGACTGGTGACAATGAGCAAAGTGCTGCAGTGACCAACTGTAAGAATGAGGTACTTTTCAGTTCGACTTTTTCCATGCGAAAAATGGAAAGAGAAACAAATCGAAAATCCCCAAACATGTCACGGTGACAAACTCGGTTTATATCTAATCCCGTCTTCCTCGAAATCTTTATCTGTACGATCGGCACAACGAAACTACTTCAACTTATAAAACTACATATTTGCACGTTGTCAGTCAAAAACTATTAAACGAGCAAAGTCACACAGAAAATGTGTAAGATCCCAGTTATTAACCGGAAACTGAATCAAAGATGAAGTGAAGTAAGAATAACTTTCTAATAACACTTACACGATTGAGAGGTCCCAGATCTTCACTCAATTTCCTCAGAGGATGTTCATAATCCAAGATCATTTGGCCTAATCGAGGGAAAGAGGATTCACTTTGCCCATGTACCAGGTCGTAGGCAGCATTGAAAAGTCCTAACACAATTGATCATAGGCATATATTTTGTACAGAAAAGAGTCCAAGATACCTAGCACAACTTTGCGGTCATCGACTCGAGAGAGAAGGATCATCAAACATATTAGATTCACAACCAAGTTGAGATAACCAGCCGTTAATTCATAGTTCAACGACTAAAAAATATGGTTGGTAAAGCGTTATTTCAAGAAATTATTTATTGTGAATGTGAATACTCACGATGTCAAGTTGGCATTGACATGCATCCATAGTAGTGAGAAGTTGCAATATGTTGTCCTTTAGTTCCATCAGATCAGCAAATGTGTAATAATAGAGACCCAACGATTTTATTATGTCTTCTTTCATTGTGTCGACATAGTGAAAAGTTGACTGAAAACAGGGACGTGCGGACTAGCAAATTAGAAATGAAGCAAAAAATGTGCAGTCTTCAAAAGAAACACCTTATTTCTTGTAAATGACTATACAGGTACAAGAAATTAGTGACTGAATGGATTGAGAAAAAGGTATGATTGTAAGGAGATGGAAAATGGCGCACTCGCCCCAAGAATAATTCCAACTTACTGTGTTCACTCTAGCGTCCACAACCGGAAATTTTCGTGCAACATGTTTGATAGCATTTTCCATGTGCTTATCATTGAGAAAGGCTGGCTTTGATTTGGAATCTAAGCAGATGACTAGAAATATCCAAGCAATGTGTAATCACATAAAAATTACCTGCACACGCTTTCTTGATATTGTAAATCCTGGTCAACATGCCAACAGCTCGATCGTTCAAGATTACAAGCTTCTCAGCTATCTTTAGCTGGCTGCATTCCATTTTGAAAGCCATGATTTGAGCGAGGACTAACAAGTCCTCAATATGGCTTTATTTTAGCCTAAATGTCAAGATATTTGCAAGAAGAAGCGACTGTGAAAATCAAGGGTAGATATCTAACAGAGTACGAATTATTATTACTCTAAAGTAGGGAGTCCTGGCAAGAAGTTTTATTTTTTCACACCTATCAAAACAGCCTCGCTAAATACACTATACTTGGCCACAAGAAAGTTTGTAGACCCTTGGTGCTGGAGTTATGGAAGCGTTTGGAAGCAGTAGCGTAACTACTTAGTTTCAATGTAATACACGTCTCCGTCTCAGTATCCCCCCCCTCCTCCAATAAAGGAACCTATTACCCGACAAGATAGTCAGATTATGACACTAATGAGCCCATTTTTCAAAAATAATTACCTTTTCTCAACGAAAACACAAACATTCAAAAAATACTGTGCAGATCAGCAAGTGCGCTCCAATGCAATGCAAATAAAGGAACAGCCCCATTAGCGTTGCGGAGGTCCGTGATTGAAAACTACCGTCGTACAACAAACAATCAAATTTTACAATTGAGACTGTCACCCGGTCCCCTAAACTTGTTTTTTGTTGGAAATTTCATTTTGCTGGCTGAAAGGATTCTCATTCAGTTTTTTTTTTCTAAAATTCAAATTAACCCAGTACTTCTCTTGGATTCATTATACGAATTTGGACTTTGGAGTTGGGAAGGCTTTCTTTCCATTGGTTTTTTCTTTTCTCGTTCCTCTTTGACATTACGCGTGGTTGCGGCTTATGAAGTTTGGTTATGCTTTTGCTATTTTAAGGTAATATGCCTCCAAAGGCATCGAAAAAGGCGGAACCCAAGGGAGGTAAGGCTCCCGCAGGAAAGAAGAAGGAAGGATCCGGAAAGGCCAAGAAGAAGAAGTGGTCTAAGGGAAAAGTTAGGGATAAGCTCAACAATATGGTTCTGTTCGATCAAGCCACATACGACAAGTTGTACAAGGAGGTGAGAGAACCACTTTATTTTATGGTAACAAGGTAGAAGCGTATGCAAACTTGGCAAGAAAGCGACCATTCAAAGGACGTCGTTCAGATCACCACTGTTTTTGGGATATTATGCCTGACATTCTTCTGCAGATTTTGCGAATTTTATTATCTTTTGCGAAATTTTTCTTGTTAGAACCGTTTTATCTTACGCGGGCCAAATGTTCTTTGAAATACTAAGTACTAGTCTCTTCGCTTTGGACTGCATATAGACGCCTTTGTGTGAAAAAAAGCGGTGGAATATGTAGTAGAAGTTTTGATTTTCAAAGAAAATTTCCTAGCGAGGAAAACATCATTTTTGACAAGCAAGTAAAGCTCTCTTTTCATACAAGTCTTACATCAACAGTTTTTAGAGAGTGGATGCTGCGCTGTAACTTGAGATTTTGTTTGTCTAATGTTTGGGCTCAAAGGCAGAACTCGTGCAAAAGTGTAGTATAGTCAGTGCCTGTAGTGGTTTCGAGATCTTTTCTGGCAAGGCAGTTGAATTGCTTCATTGCATCTTCTTACATCTGAAATGTAAAACTTCTGTATGCGATGTGTTGCGAAAATGGAAAGTGTAGTCAGATGTCCTTCAAGCTTGAATTCAAATAGATTGTTTCGAAGAAATTCAGGGCTTAGTTTGAAGTTTTTTGTGATGATGATATTTTCCACGATCATTGGTGTCATTATGAGCGCATATGGCTTTTACCATGGTAAAAACCATTCATCAGGAACCTCTGGAATTTCTTTGCTTTTGATATTTTGGAATCAATGATTTCTATTCATCCATCTCTTGCTGAACGCGAAACAGATTCGCATGCTCCGCTAAGTTATCGCATGCACGGCTACGGATTTCTTCACCTGCAGTCATTTATGGGAATTTCTCACTAAATACTCAAAGGGAGAAAATTATTAATTATGTAGTGGTTTGATGTGTAGTTTGTTGGTGGTTGCAAAATTTTCAGATGTTGTAGCAACTTCTCATTTTTATTTAGCCTGCGTCTGATACAAATCCTGTGTATTCAGAAACTGAAATATTTTGCGCATTATTGAAGGCACTATCCACCCAAAACGGGGGTTTTTGGGCATTTCGCGGATTCTCGACTATTTATTCGGAATCAGGACCTTCGAAGGCCAGGAAGCGCCAAAAACATAGAAGTCGAGAATTTGGGTGGACGGGTGCCTTTAAAGTGAAGCTCATTGCAAAGTGCATCTGTGATAGGTTTTTCTTGGTGCCGTTTGCACGCATATCCTTCATCTTTTGGCTTCTTCCAATTTAACATTGATGATGAAATAACCGCATTTACTTCAGGTTATCACCTACAAGCTGATCACTCCATCAGTGGTATCAGAGCGATTGAAAGTCCGAGCATCTCTCGCAAAGGCTGGTCTTCGCGAATTACAAGCTAAGGGACTAGTGAAATGCATTGTCCACCACGGAGGTCAGATCGTGTATACGCGAGCTACCAAGGAGGCAGATGTCATTGTTGAGTAAATGTTGTTATTGTTATGTATGTGTTCTTGTATGAATATGTATGACGTTTGCTTAACACTGAAACTACGCCTATTAAGGTCACAGTATTTTAACTTTTTCCTGAATTGCTCCTATTACGTACAACATTGAAACGAACGTTTGAGATGTTTATGTTCCGCGTGCTCAACGCGGTGCCCTACAGCAATGAACAGGGCGCCAAAGATTTCATTGCGAGTCTACATTCATTTGTCACATGCAATCTGCTCGTTGGGTTGGCTGTACTCGTATCATGGAAGCAATTTGGTGGAAGACCTCTTGAGTGCATGGTGCCTCCAGATTTCACTGGTGCTTGGGTTGAGGTAGGACCTTTCGCAAAGATGCTGTGGTACTGTTGGTGGTACAAATTAATGGAGGACCGATCATGAACTTGCGGGTAATTGGAAATTGGTCTTCATGTGTTAGAAAAGTTGTGTTAATAAGGAGTTGGGGAGTTCTATGTATGCGCGATAAAATGTCTTTTTTCTTTGAACTGAACAATTCATCGTCTCGGAAGCTGGGAACAAAGTTCAAAGTCGCGTTCGAGTGAGCGGAAAGGCTCCGACCAACCACTCGGGGGATTTTTTTTTCGCTGCTCTTGCCGCTCAAAAAAAAATCTCGCGGAATGCCACTGTGAATGTGGATCCGAGCGTTTTGAAAGACAAGTCATAAAAAGACCTTGAATACTTGGCAAGAAGCCGTACCTGAATATTATCTGAAGTACTGGTTAAGCATTACGTTGAATCATGATTGTGAGTGAGCTATATTCTGAGCTGAGTATATATCATGGTCGGATTCCAGATTGTGGAGGCGGATGCGGACTTCCCTGATTATAAGCGTAATTCTGTAAATCATATTGAGGCATTGCTTTTCGTACTTTTTCGCTACCAAAAACCGCCATATTGAGCTGGCAAGACTCAACACCAATGTGGGAGAAACCATTATCCGTCGGAATCCGGCGCTGACCTTAGCTACAGTATATGGCTAACGCGACCATAGAAGGCCACCCATTTGCCTCTTGCCTTTCCTTTGGCAATAAATCTCTTAGAATTCACATCATTAGGTCATCTTGAAACTGTCATGTTGTGTTTACTGTCTGATCTTGCACGGTACTAAAAATTCTCCTCATCTTGGATACTCTCTCAGTATACCATAGGTGCAAATGCTAAGGAACTGATGTTTCTCCAGTATTTTATGTCATTATCGAGATATCCGAATAACTTTTTGATACTAATAATTAAAGGGTTTTGATCCATGGAATTAGAAGATCCTCTGCTTTCATTCCTTGCCCAAACTGTCACGTGTACATTGTTTAGGGAGATGAATTCATCATTGACAGAATGACAGTCTTGTTTTAAAATCTTTTTTAACAAAAAATCAGATTTCGCAAATGATACTTCTACGTCATCCATCAACATAATCACTGTTAGCAAGTCCAGGACTCATATCCACGAAAGTCCATAATGGAGGAAAATGGAGTTACTTAGTCCATTTTATTCGTTCGCGTTAGAAAGTGGTCGAAATCGGCTCCCGCTTACGATATCCAAAATTTTTCATCTCATCGCAACCGCGAGGCAAAGCGGTGAAATGAAAATGATTCAAGCTTATTTGAGCTATCGCTCGCGGAAGATGACTCAAAAGTCCATTTTAGAATGGGGCAAAATGGAGTTCACCTCCATGTTCATTCTCTCTCACCTTTCTGATAAGCCCATTTTACTCCCAGCAGCCAGATGTGCTGGGACTAAGCCCACTTTTGACCTTTTTGCATATTTCTGATTGCGATTTTTTGAGAATATGTTCCCTAGCCCATTTTAAGATAATAAGCGAACGGAGAAAGTTTTATCTTCTTTAGGAAGGCCAAAAAACTATCTTTTCCAAACAGCCTTGAAATGCTTTGAAAATCATAAAATTTTCTGCGTAGACAGTTGAGACAGACAGACAGACAGACAGACACAAAGACGGCAATTTAAAATTCGCGATTTTGAGTTTGGTAGCAAAAAGTACTGAAGTACCGCTAGCAAGTCAGAATATTCTGTGAAAAATTTCTTACTAGCTATAGTTTATACATTATTCACTTCTTGCTCTCGTATGGAAATATAAAAAATATCGCGATTTACCAAAATTAAACAAGTCATTTTATAGAAAATCTTCTCGATACGTCATTTTGTCACCGAAAACACTACCCAAAACATCGAAGCGAACTCTGTTTTATTTTCGAATATAGAGCATCACATTAGGGTTGAGATAAAAGGTTAACTGATTGGTACTGGATTATGCGAGAGCTTTTTCAACAACCGGTTAATTTGAATTCTGTTCAAAATCTATAACAAGGTTGCCAGTAGCAAAAGGCATTGGTTCAAGCATTTCCTATATGCTGATCAAGACGGATATAAGTCCGTTTTGCTTCAGTTTTTCGTAGCACTTCCCCTAAGCAACTTTGATTATCAAAAGCACATATGACTTGGGATCAGAGTATATGCCTAGACGGCAATTCAAAATTAGAATCAATCAAAAATTAATTAAATTCAAACTAGATAAGTTCTGAACGCAAAATTGAATTCAGTGACTTTGTCATCATTCTAGTATCCACCCCTCAAACTCAAACAGTTGATGCAAGAAAAACAGCTTCATATATCAAACTGGGTTGGGGTTGCTAAAGTACAACATGAGAAGCCATCAATTTTTTGCAGATCCAAAGTTTTTCCAGCTTAAAGGCCTTTGTGTTGTAGTGTAGTACAAGGTTTTCTGTGACATAAGCATTTTGATTCACAAATTGCAATGCAAGTCTAGCCAAAGTTGCTTTCTGCTGGAAACTCCACATACGAATTTGATTCAATGCAGATTCATAGAAGTTTTGAAGAGCGAATGTCCTGATATTACTTGGATTTTAGATGGACTGAAACTAATTTAGATGCATAGTCATAGTTAATAAATGGCATTCTATGAGGTGTAATGAAATGGAAAAGAACGGAGTATCCACGTGACTGATACAGTAAAGTTAGATCAGCCTAGATATCGACCACTTGCTGGGAATGAGTTTGCAAGAGTGAGTAAACAGGTTGAGGCAAGTTGAAGAAAGGTTTGCTGAAGCATTTTTGTATGGAATGAATGGATTCGCGAACGCGATATCTTATCGCACCGCAAGGACTAAGCCCATTTTATTCGCGTTTCATTCGCGAAAAGCCCATTTTTAAATGGACTTTCGTGGATATCATTCCAGGTCGCCGTTCACTACTTGAATGCGGATGGCAAAATGATCATGACTTATAATAAGCGGCTTAATCTGAAGTTGTGTGGAGTTTGTCCGTTACGAAATTACAGTGAGGAATGATTTACGATACTAAACATCATGTGAGGTTAAGATAGCGAGTATGGTTCATTTTTAACTACGGCTCACTTTGCAATAAACCGAACAATGATTTGAGAGACCTCTCAGAAAGTGAGTTTACCACGGTTCACGATGCCAGTGCAAACCTCTGCGAAGCAGAGGTGAAGCACTGGTCACTTATAAGACCCAGAGGATAAACAACACATCATATTGAATGCAGGATCACTTTATGATTTGATAAGTAATCACTTATAAGACCCAGAGGATAAACAACACATCATATTGAATGCAGGATCACTTTATGATTTGATAAGTAAGATTCATAAGAAGGTAAGCGGCAGCCGGGCAGCATTTTAAAGTCGCGTTAGCTATATACTGTAGCTAAGGTCAGCGCCGGATTTCGACGGATAATGGTTTCTGCAATGTGGGAGCCGATAATATAAAGACGGCGCTTATATAAGGAAATAGTAAGGTTTGAGTCTTTGTCTAATGACGGGCATCCTCAGAACATCATGACGCATTGGTAGCTTGAACTTATGTTCTTATCTCGCTTTCATTGGGAGGGAAGCTTTTTTTCCCATCCGGGAGATGGAAAAGTCGAGTTTTTCCCTCAATGTGTCTACAGTGGTTTTTTGGATGTCCTTTTCCTGTAAAAGCACACCTCAATTACGTGACATTTTTTGATCTTCTAATCTTATTCGGTGTTAAAAACAAGTTGGGACGTACTTTCATGTAAAATAGCTTTCTGATGTGCGCCGTAAAATCAGTTTTTTGTTACGAGTCTCGAGCATATTAGTGCTCATCTTTGCGCAGAATTGGCTAGAAGTACAATGGATATCTATTGGATATCTATGCTATGGATATCTAAGGCAGGCTCTATACTCCTTGAGGAGTATAGCATGGCGACGATCGATATGCATCAAATACGTGTAAAACCGGCGACTACACATTTGATACGTATCGATTTGAAGTGTGGTAACCTCTGGCCATTGGCGATCGCCCGTCGCCATGCTATACTCCTCGAGGAGTTTAGCGCCTGCCTAACTGTGTGTAGAAAAATGGCGCAATTGGAAAAGCATCATTAGCGCCGATGTAATCAGAGATAAACCAATTTTTACCTGACAAAATGTGTAAAAGCACTGAGAATGGAATTAAGAAAGGTGAGAGTCACAAAATCGGCGGTCATATGAAGTGGCAGTGGAAGCAATCCGGCGTTTGGATTCACGGTGGAACTGTATAAGAAACCCCTGCCTTGCTTTGCAAACATCCCTTCGAGAATCATAGCTGTTTACGTTGAATTAGAAATATCAGAAATACTGTGTTTTAGTACGCGGAAGTCTATTGTTGGTCTCAGGACACCTACTATGTTCCTTTTTCCACTCCTTTGGCAAACACACCTGACAACACTACCATCGATCGAAGCTCTGCCAAGGTGAAGATTATTTTGTCCTCTGCATCATTCTGCAGAGTTTTGAAATCATTGTATAACTATGTTTTTAAGGTTTCTTATTACCAATGGATGCCATTCTTTTTATTATTTGAAGCAGCATGCTTCCGCTTGCCTACTTTTATCTGGAAATACTTTGCTAGTCAAAGTGGTGCGTTTTCAGACATCATTATTTTTGACTCTGGTTCATATTCATTCGCATGTAGGTATGAAAGTTGGAGAAATCCTTCGTTTGGCCACGGATGAGCACAACACCGTACCGGAAATCAGACGAGAAAACATACATGCACTGTGTATACATCTTCAAGGAGCTTTGCGATTTCAGAAGAGGTTGAAAATGGTAACTTCAGTTTTTTCCTTCCTATATTCACTAGTGGAATTAACATGGATAGTTTTCAGAAGAGGTTGTATCCTCATAAGATTGTACGTTTTCTCAATCTAAAGTACACGACCTACTACGTGACTCTGATATATTTCATCGCCAAATTTGCATTTCTCATGAATGTGGGGATACAGACAAAGTTGTTGAATCAGTGAGTCATTTTCTTTGCGTTTCTTCTTCGCTTGGCTTGTATCTTGCCACATTCATTGTGGACAGTTATATTCCATTTCAGATACTTAATTCCTCATGCTAGTTTGCACCAATTCGGTTTTGACGTCTGGCATTCTCTGTGGAGTAGCAATCAGACGTGGCAAACAAGCGGTCTCTTTCCGCGTGTCACTTTGTGTGACTTTGATGTTAGTTTAATTCATTAATCTCTTCAATTTCATGACTTTATGGAAGTAATTCTTGAGCTTTAGGTGCGGGAAATGGGAAATATCCAAACGCATACTGTGCAATGTGTTTTGCTTCTCAATGTTTTTACCGAAAAGATCTTCATTGTCCTCTGGGCATGGTAAAAATAAACAAGGTAGAATTTACTTCAAATGTCTTAGGCCTGTACTTGCAGGTATGTATTCCTCGCAACTCTAACTGCGTGTAACCTGTTCAGCTGGATGTTCTCTATCTTTAGCGAGACGTCCAAAGAGCATTTCTTGATAAATCACCTCGAAATGTGTGAAACTTCATTCGATAAGGAATCTGCAAGTCAGTCTTTCATTCCCATTCATAGGTACTCAGTCGTACAAACGAAAATCTTTCAAAGGTTACATAGAGTTTTGCAGCTTCCCTATTTAGGAGATCTGCATGAGGTCGATTGTTTCATAGACAAATACCTGGGATTAGACGGAATTTTTCTGCTGAGACTAATTGGACAGCATGCAGACGTTGTTTTTATCACAGAGCTCGTTGGATATCTGTGGAAAAGTCATAACGAGATTGAGGAGCAAAGACAGTGCGTTTTCGGTCTTTAAATAATTGTTGCAAGCAAGTTGAAGCACCAGAAATTATCTGTTCAGTGCACTGAAAAGAATGAATCGTGTTTTACCTTTACTGGTTCCCGAAGAAAAAGTAGACTACTCCGTGCCAGGCTCCCGCAGAGAATCTTTGCTGGAATCTCGTAGAGAGTCACTAGTTGGATCGGCAGCCACAAAGAGAAGGGTAGGCCTTCTTATTTCCCTAAGATCATATTCTAGAGATCCTCTTGGATATGAAATTTCTTGATGAAAGCCACTAGCAAAGAGAAGTTAAGAAAATAAAGTTTTATTATTGAAGAACCCTTTGGTTTTATCGTTACCTTGATTGAATGTCTAGGCTTCACTAGCCAACAGACGTCAATCTACCCTGAAAAGGGTAGCCAGTGCTGAGGAATTGGAATCCAACAAATCGAAGCAGTTTGAAGACAGCAGCGACGAAGACACCAACATAACGTCGAGAAAGTCAAGTTTAGAAAAGGGCAAGAAGTCCCAGAAGTAATAATTGTACAAAGAATTCTCTTCTTACATTCGCCATATATCAAATTCACTCAGATTTAGTCAACGAGCTCTCCAAAATGTTTTCGTCTTCAGTATTACAGAATCTCGGGTAGATTCCCTGGTATCTTCGCCTTAGGCATAAATTCCGTAGACTCTGAATTGCACTGCATTTGTGAAGAAAACATAATATCACGTAAGAATGCTTTAGTTCACTTCGCTTTGATTCAGATATTTCTGTTGCTTTGTAGACCATTTCTGATCTAGAAATGATCTATCAATTTTGCTATCTGTACCTAAATTCTATTTCTAGTCGAATCCTCTCTGGTCAGTTTTAAATAATCGACCTCCTATGCATTTTCCACAGAAGTATTACAGCACTATCTATGGAATTGTTTATTCTTTGATATGTCACATTCGTTATGTAACCATTGTATTCTAATAAAATTTGTGTACATATACTAGAGTTTACTGATTCGAAGGGAAGTATCAAGGGGTTATACGGACTGCAGATCAAGTTTGAATGTATATTGTTTTGTAGCCGAAGTAAGTCCTGGAAAATACCCCTAAATGGTTAGTATCGAGAGAAGGCGCAGCTAATGTAAGATCAACACAATTTGTTCTTGGCGGCAAGTAGTGTGGAAGGAGTCGAGTAATATGAATAGTTGCTGGGGTTCAAGCGAATTAGGAAATCAGCACCTCCTAAATTTTAGAAAATGCTGGCATCTTTTAATAACTCGCTGATGGTCATTATTTTTTTTACAAGTGAAGGAGTAGTTTTTTACGATGATATGTATTTGCAATTCTAATTTGAGTTAATGTATATTACTCGTCTGAATCTCGTATACGACTCAGTCAGCCACTTTGCACTGGCGATAATGCCATGAAATCGCAGTGTTTTCGGAAATGATCTATAGAAGAAAATCGGGTTTGTATTTCAATAGTATTAAATAGTCATTTTGTTAATTCGGTGTAGAAGATAGTAACTTTTGCACATCTCTAGACAATGCAGAAGGCATACAGGAAGGCAGAAGGTGACTTGAGTTGGTTGGAGTACAAACTATAAGAGTTTTTAAGTTGCTAATTAGAGGTTCGTCCAGCCCAGAAGCAAACTTGGAAAAAGGTGACATGAGTTTTGATCGCCTTTTAGCTTACTGACATCATCGAAAAATCGCTCGCTTTTGGCCGAAATAACAGAAAGTAAGAAGTAACAGAAAATCAGAAGCATAAGCAGAAGTAACAGAAAATCGCATTGAATTTTGTTCTTTTGTGCCGAAAGGACACAAAAGAACAAAATTCAATGCGATTTTCTGTTACTCTCATCGTGTCTGACTTCAGCGCTTGCAACCTTTTGAATTGCGAAGCCTGAATTATAAGCTTGAGCAAATTGGGAGTTGAGACTATACTCAATGATTTTTTTCAAGGTCAATTTATGCATAAAATTGCGAATCAAACAAGAATACATTCAAACACAAATTACGATTTGTGGTTGGTTGCGATTTGTTTGTTGTCTCGTGTCATCCTTCCTCTCCAACATTCTGGAATGCTCTTTGTTGATGGAACGTACTTTTTATCAGTCTAATTAATTCAAACTGGACACTGTGTAATAAATGAATAGATGCTCATATGGACAGTATAATGGATGCTGTACTGGAAGCTCTGCAAACACTTATACAGCACAAACACAATTCTTCCTCGACTGGGCAGGTAGGCTTTAAAGCCTTGCATCTATTAGTGACCATAGATGAAATTTTCCAGCAAGATCAAGTTTGTGGAAAAAGTTTGCGAACAGGCTCCTTGAGTTGATATAACTACGGATTCGAAGGCAAAAATATAGATCTGAATCCTATCTACACAACAATACGCATGGGGAAAATATAGAATTCTCCACTTTCAAAGAAATATTGTTTCTGAAAGCAGAATGTTCTAATTTAATTTTTCTTTAGAGAAATTGTTTCATTCCCCGAAAAATGAGACTTTCTTTGTTCTGACCATTCCTAGACCTTCCGTGTAGACGACTTTTCAGTGCCGTCACCACAACCTTATCAAAGGTGGCCAGGTGACCCCAGATTAGATTAGAAAACGTTTGAGAAGGTACACGAGAAATGGCTAGTCAACATTTATGGCTTTTTGCTACTTCCTGTTTGGTCCTTGTATTCTTTGGTCTGCTTTGAAAACGTCTACTCTCACTTTTTTGCTTCAACTTCAATTTTTATGTTTAGAAACTTGTGGCAATTCTTTTCTGCCATAGAACTACTGGCCCTGCTTTGGAGCAGCAGAAGATCCGTATTTCTAAGATAATCATAACTCCATAATGCTTCTACTCGGACTCTTCTGCTGCATTGCTCTAACCGAAACCTACAAAATACTGGTATTTTCCCCAGTTACAAGTCGATCTCATATGATCTCTAATGGAAGGATAGCCGACGAATTGGCTATGGCAGGCCATGACGTGGTAAAGTCCTACTTTTCGTCACAAATCATTCAAAACTTATTCTTGATTTATATGCTATTACCCTAAAACAAGGACTTTCTAGGTGCTATTTGAACCGGATTTCCTCAACTTATCCCATACCGTAAATCCTGTAAAGTTAGCTCGTCGATTGGTGGTTTCTGAATTTCCTTCATACTTGAACGATGTTTTACAAGGTTTGTGACTTAATTAGTGAAAATAAGAGAGGAAGGAAGATATTTGTGCACTTTTACAAGTGAAGTCCCCACTTGTTTGGGAATCGCTGTTGATTTACTAAGTGGAAAAATGAAAAAAATGTTTTGTGGAGAGTTTGTGAACATATGTACTGTTGAAATGACATATCTGCTTGAAAAGTTCTTCAATTTGCAAAATTGTCTAGGATAGCATAATTTTTAAATGTAAATGTTGTGTTATCCTGCTCTACCGTAATAAACTTGAAAAAAAAATCTAGTTGAGCTTGGACATCCTACTGCTCAAATAATCAGCAGGTTAATTTTATGTAAGGAAACTGATTTTTCGGCATTCCTTTTTCAACTGAAAAAATTCATCGCACCATCCTCTATTCCATTCACAAAAATGCGAAATCGCGAAAAGGACACCTTGTCCAAAATTTCGGTTTTTATGCTATCTCAAAATCAAGATGCTTTTAGAAACGGAAGAATTTTCGTTGGTTTTGTATTCCTTGGATTCTTTAGGGTCGATCTCTGGTGTTTTTTCCACAGACTTCTCCGATCAAAGACTTGTGCTTTGTGTATTGTATTAGATACTTGTCTGTTGCTAGTTTTATCAAGCAGAAACCATGCGTATCTTATCTAGTAGTTTAGTGAAAGTTGGTCTGATATGACTGTGGAATAAGATGACAAGTTTTACGAAGTTTACATATACTAAGTCTTCAACAAATGGTTCTTAAGAAAAGAAAGTCATGACCATAATGTTCTAACGTGGTCTAATGGTTACTTCGTCATATTTGGTTACAACCTCTAGAAACAAGCAACTTCTCCACAATTTCATTCCATTTACTTATTACGAAACTATCGAACCTAAGCATTTTCCTGTAAAAAATAATCAAATTATTAGGTTGGTGCAAAAGTTCTTTCCCATCAAATTCAAAAATTCATAACTTATTGAATTCTTAAAGAATTTGCAAGATCTAAATTTTGCGTAAGAGAGGAACTCATGCTCTTTGCATCTTTTTCTGAACTGTTCGTTATTGTGTACAAGTGAAGGAGATAGAAGCCCAAAACCAAAATCACTCAAAATTTGAATTTTTCGTGTAGGGTCATAAAAAATCGGAAGCTTGCAACAAAAATCGGAGCAGTCAGTATTGTAGGCTCTTTCACAAAATCTTTCCAACATTGTAAAGTTTGTGCCGATTGAGCGTCTCTGTGAAAAGTTATGAACTCCCTGGAAAATGCTAAAATAAATCAAATTCGCCCTTTTGTATTGCTTGCTCGAAAATCATAACTTTTCATAGAGACGCTCAATTGGCGCAAACTTTGCACTGTTGGAAAGAGCTTGTGAAAGAGCCTACAATACTAACTGCTCGGATTTTTGTTGCAAGTTTCCGATTTTTTATGACCCTACACGAAAAATTCAAATTTTAAGTGATTTTGGTTTTGAGCTTCTATCTCCTTCATTTGTACACATCAACGAACAGTTCAAGTCGATTCAAAGGGCGTGAGTTCCTCTCTCACACAAATAGATCTTGCAAATTCGTTGAGAATTCAACGAGTTATGAATTTTTGAATTTGGAGGAAAAGAACTTTTGCACCAACCTAATACTTTGCTAGCGACTACTGTATCAAGCTTGCCATTTTCCACACGGTAATTCAGAATTTTAGTCAGTATGAATCAATTCTCAGATAAGAAGTGGCTTTTTCACACAAAAAAAGCTGACGCTTATAAGCTTCTATGTTTTATATTATACGAGTTCTTCACAAAGATAAGATGGGTCAAGCAATTTTTGAGAAGTATTATAGTTCAAACATTCCGGAAAGCATATATGCTCGCTTTTTCGTAAATAAAAGTCAACGATCACTAAAAGAATAACGAATGGTGTGGTAACTGTACATAATTAAATGAAGGAGGATATAAAAGGAATGAAATAGTGAATAATATCAACATTTTAGCATTATCCGGTAATGCATTTGCGGAGGTATCACAGTACAGAGCACAGCAGGGACTACTTCGATATCAGAATGCATACAATATGCTTTGCGAAGGCAAGTTCGAAAAATTCGCAAACTCACATTTTCACAAATTAGTGTGTTAAGATCTAATTAATCGAGAAACTATTATGGAAAAGTTGCGGGCGGAAAAATTTGATGGCTATTTTGGAGAGCAGATAAATTTGTGTGGGAACGGCATAGCCTATGCACTCGGTATCAAATCACATTTTTGGGTGTCTAGGTAAGATTACTTAATCCAGACATGAGCTATTTTTCCCAATGTTTCTTCCAGTTGCCCTATCAGTGACCATATGGCTTGGATATTGGGAATGCCTCAGCCATCATCGTACATTCCTTCTCTGATTGGATCTCACTCAAATCATAAAATGAGCTACTTTGAACGAGTTCAAAACATCTACTATACTTCTTTATACGTCTACTTCAGTATGATAGCTGATGAAGAAACAAATAAGGTGTTCAGGAAGAAATACGGGTAAGTAATGGATAAAGTAGCTTGATTATCGTAATTCCAATATCATTTTTCAGCAAAAATTTTCCGAGTTTAACGGAAATCGCTTCCAATTCTGATATGATATTTGTGGCGACGGATGAATTTGTTGAGATTCCACGCCCAACACTTCCAAATGTCGTTCATATCGGTGGAATAGGATTAAATGAAAATTTAGTAAACGATACTTTGCAGGAGGTAACCCATGTTTTGGATGGCCAAGTTTATCAAAAAATTTTTTTATAGCCATTTTCCGAACAAATGCAGAAAGGCAGCAAAGGAGTAGTCTATTTCTCTCTTGGAACTCTGATCAACACTACTTCATTACCTATCAAAGCAAAGACTACGATAGTGGATGCAATTCGACTGACTCCAGATCATCACTTCATCTTAGTTGCAGACAAATCTGACAAGGTAAAAACGGGAATTTCTAAGAAGCTGCTACATCTTCGGCCAAGGTTTTATTTTGGGAAAAGGGGTAGGTGATAGAATCGCAGGCTTTGCTGCATTTTTCAGTTTCAGATTGTTGTAGGTGGTCTTCTGTAATATAGCGGCAGTATGAATACGAAAAAAAGTAAATGGAATACCATTCAATAGATTAAAGGAAGCTCTACAGAATAGAGGCTTAGACATTTGCGACGAGTTTGACCTGCGAGAAATTTGGACCATCGAATGCGCCTTCTGAAAAACCGAAAAAAATCGTATCTCGCCCAAAAAAATTCTGGGAAGCCCCAACTTGCTCTAAGATACTCCCTCTATATCAGACATGTGTGCACAGTTTCATGATACATCTAGAAAGTGATGAAGCGAAATTCAGTACGTCTTGTCGAATCGATCTCAAGTTTTCCCGGATGGGTGGGTAGGGGAACGAAGGCCGCCAATTTGAGCCGCCTTTTGCCAACTGCTCCTTTTGCCGTGTTGTTGCATGTCGTCTCAGGAGCAGTCCGCGCAGGCGGCCCGAACTGGCGGCCTTCGTTCCCCTACCCCGGATGGGTGATATTTATAAGTAGTATAAGCTTATGGAAGTATAGAATGTTCAGCTTTTCAAAGGCTTGGTTTGAGATCAAATTTATTGCAAAAAAACGAAAAAAGTGAGTAGTATCCAATGTAACATTATTTTTCGGACAGTTTACAATATTTTCATATACTGCAAAAATATGTTCGTTTCGTGTTGACCAAATCATCATTCCTATAGTAACCTTAGTATTTTTTCGTGGACCCTTTATCACCGAGATAAAATTCATAATAGTGTGCACATTGGAGAGTAAAGACTACGGTAATTCACAATAAGATGAAAGTGAGAAAGCTTACTTTTTTACGGTTTGGAGTTTGTAATCCATCAACGGGGCAACCAAGAAATTATCCCATCAAGATTTTCGAAAAAGCCGAATTTGTAAATAGCTAAATTTTCAGTTTACTAGAACGCTTGCAGAGACGATTCCGAATGTTTACATCTCTTCGTGGGCTCCACAACCCGCAATTCTAAGTGAGTTTGGCACAGCATTTTCATGGAAAACTGTTTTTTTTTTTCAGAACACCCTCGACTCAAGGCATTTATCACTCACGGAGGTTACAACAGCATCATGGAAGCTTCTCGAGCTGCAGTGCCTCTTATCACCATTCCGTTCTTTTTTGATCAGATACGGTAAGCTATACTTCGCCAGGAAAAAAAATCGAATTTTTCGAAATAATAGAAAAAATCGCTTTTTAAGGAATAGTCGCGCAGTTGAAGCCAATGGATGGGGAATACCGTTGAATAAACGTGTGCTTATCGACGAATCACAAAAACTTCTCAACGCATTGCACGACCTGCTCACTAACGAAAAGTGGGTCCCCACTCCTTCTTATTCCAGGCACTTTCAGTAACCATCAATTTTTAGGTACAAACAAGCAGCAGTGAGGATCTCCACATTAATACGAACAAAGCCGTTCAGTGCCTCCGATAGGCTTGTGAAGTATACAGAATTTGTACTAACGAATGGAGGCATGAAAGAACTACTCACTGAAGGCAGACGATTACCTTTTATGATATATCACAACTTAGACATATTTGTTCCGTTTGGAGCTGTTTTCTTGTTGATTTCTTATGTAGTGCTGCGATTGTTGGCTACAGTAATGACCAAGGTTGTAAAAATTGAGAAAATCAAGCTGCAATAAATTATTTTGAAATCAATTTAATTACATGGTTAAAGTATAACAATGAGCATCAACAACGTAAAGTAACACAATAGGAAAAATGATAACAGGAACAACAATAACAAAGTTTTCCTCAGACTATTTCCGGAATCTATCAAGCAGCTGTTTCGGTTTGGATGACTCTGTTTTTTCAGTTCCAAACACTTCTTTTTCAACTTCCCTCTTTTCATTAATGCGTTCTTTTCGGATATCGTCAACCACCATGCTTTTCCGAAGTTCCTGAAATTGAATTTTATGATCAGATTAATCTGCCTACAACCTTTGATCCACCTTATGCGATCCCGTTCCGCGTCCTCGCATTTTGTGTTTTGGTGTATATTCGATGTGGACTGGCCGAACATACAAAATCTTCTTTCTATCTTCCATTTCTTTTTCTAAGAGATCCTCATTCACACGAGCAATATCCTTGGGATCCAAACAGATAAGCTCAGGTTGGAGCTGAAAAAACAAGAATTGGTTTTTACAAAAATACGAGAAGATTGCATTTAACAAAAAAGGGAGAACAAACCTTATCAAGGAGTTGTTTCACTTCACGTTCCCTCCTCTGCTTCTTCGTCTCGTAGGGGTTCGCTCTTGTCGCATCAACATTTGCTTCGCCGGCACCTAAACATCAAAATTCCACAAATTTTTGACAGTATCGCAACTGATGACAATATTTACCTGGCACTAGCATGCTGGTAAATCCATTCGCATGTCCAACGCCCAGAACGTCTTCGTAAGGAACAAACGCCAGACTTGAAACTGGACCGCTGAGGCGATGTGCAAGGTAAGGTTCGTGACACACACCGAGATGCATGTCTTTGAAGATCTAAGAAAGAGGATCAATGCCTAAGAAGACATGGATATTTGAAGTAACAGAAACGAAAGAGACTGAAGCCCGTGAATCTAATTCATTCATATTTTCCTGGAAAAGATGAGAAAAAAGTTTGAGAAACTGCTAACCTTCAAAAAATATGAAATATCTATGCTGACCTGAACTGTGTTACCTATCGCACAGGCCACTGCCATACGCTGACTGACGGCAACATGAGAAAGTCCGAAAGGTAGAGAATAAGCATGTAACTGTTTGTATATCCGCACATCCCATACTCTAAATCACTCAAATTTTATTATCAATCATTTTTACCATAATAATTCCAGTCCACTACCTGCACTTTCGGTCAAGACCCGTAGTAATCATATACTTTCCAGTTTGGTCGATATCCATGCCTTTGATTGAAGCTTGATGGGCGAGCATCTTTACGAGCGGCTCCTTCACATTTGGAGACCACAAACAGACCGTTCCTTGAAATTACAACCGCATAAAAGATGGTCTTTTGTACAATCATCGGAAACGAATTGGAAAAGAGGACTTTGAATAGATAATATGACATACGGGTCGAAAATATTTAGAGCGATCCGAGTCAAACAAACTTTTGAAAGACACCTGTATCAAAAAGCTACTTCACAAAGTTTTTTTTGCGAAAATCTCAGCAATTTTCCAGAAGAAACTAACAATAAGATCCATCTACTGCACAAGCGCACGTTTCAATGATATTGCGACCCATTTTTGAAATGAAACAGAAAACAGTATATATTTACGGAATCACAGCACTCTTTTTTACTCGTGGTGTGATCTAAGCATAAAAAGCCACATCTGTACTGATTCTTTACAGTTTGAATTGCTGGAGACAATTTGAACTACACTTTTGAAATTTCTTTGAATAGCTTGAACGAACCTACCGTTATCGTGTCCAGTATGAATTATTGCATTTCCAGGATTCTGACACATAACGTTCAACGGTCCCATCCGACATGGAAATGACGTCACCATTTTGCCAATAGAAACATCCAACCAATGCAACCAGCCAGTTCCAGACTAATAAGGCGAAGTAAGCGTGGGAAAACACAACAATCATTGTGATTCTTATTTTTTAAGTAAATAAGAGCGAAGAGAGTAGTGTTATGTTCAGCGAATACGACGGATATACAACTTTTTTGAAGGAAAATTCTGGATAAAATGCAACCTACCGAGCCGACCAATAGAAAATGTCGAGGTAGGAAGGTAAGTCGGCGAATCTCGTGTAACTGCTTTACGCAGTGCAATTCGGTCCCTTGGTTATCATAAACATAAGTATAATGCTTCTGAGCGACAGCATAGATATTTTCTGTGTGCATCCATCTGAACTGAGTGGGTGTAAAAAACTGCATACATGGTCAATAACTGAAAATCCACGTACTGTACATCACGTACGGTCTCCATAACATTCGTCTCACAATGCAGATTCTTGGTTTGCCAATCCAGTGAAGCAATGTGACCCCTTTTCCCTCCAAGTAACAAATGTCTCCCATTGTCAGTGTATGATATGTGGTAAGGACCAAAATTTTCAAGATGGAGATCGAAATGCTGAAAAAAAGTTGCAAGTCTTTTTTGTGTTTAGAATGAAGATAAATCTGATGACCAACTTTGCTAGCATTAGCCATATCTACTGCATCTGCAATTTCCGTCTGACGTATAGCATAAGTGGGGACATCGTCATCTCCTTCTATGTACCCTTCCTAAATTACTACTGTATGTCAAAGTAACATCTCAATTCTAGCAATAAGAAGTGAACAGAGCACAAACTTCCTCCTTGTTGAGAATCTCGGCTCTAGCTGTTTTTTCAGAGCGTTGAACCAATTTCTTCTTTCTCATAGCAAACTTTTCCTTATGAAATTCACTCCTCATATTTGCAGGATTGAGAACAGATGCGCCTGAATATGACGAACTGCTCCAGAGAAAACATTTTCCATTACGCAAAAAGAAAGCGCGTTCAACAAATCAAAAAAAAACTGCATTAAGAGATGCTATTAAGACTTTACCTGTGTCATGTTTCATCAAACGTGAAGGATCAATAGGAGGAGCATCAACGGATTCTTCCTTTGCCCCACTTAAGATTCGCTAATACTCATAGGAAGTAGGTTATGCTAATGTTGGAACTAACCGTAGCGATGTAACCTCAGTTTTCGCCCTGATTTCAGGTTTCACTTCTTTCTCATTTTTAGGAATGATCTTCTTTTCATCTTCATCTTCGATCTTCCTTTTTCGTTTGACTTTTGGAAATGTTTTCTGATCAGCATCCATCAGAAAGCTGATCTGAAGTCATTCAACTTCTTCTTGATATAATCTCTATCAAAAACTGTCAGAAGTAAGCAGAGGTAACTGCTACGTTGTTGCACGCAATCAGTAAAAAAATCTCTTTATTATCAAATACTTAATGACTTGAAATACATTGACGATGCAGCGTAATTTACAGGACACAAAACAAGAAAGAAATATAATTTGGATCACAGCTTGCTTACCTAGTTGCCTTTCGTGATAGACTTAAAAAAGAAGAGCAAATCAAAATCTTCGGAGTAAGAGATTTGGTATATCATGCACGAAAAACGTTGACACACGCACTTTGAGTGTCCGTTATTGTATGAAACTACGCGACTATCTAGAAGGTAGGAAAACAAGAGAATCAAAAACATGATTGCGGTACAGGATTCTCATTGAGCTGTAGAAAACACCCAACATATGACCGTAACTTGATGATAAGACACAACTCATCTACGCAGAGAAAAAGCAACGATCCGATGGATAACTGTAGCACCGGGTCGTGTGCATCGCAAGAGAAGAAGCAGCGGGAAAGAAGGGGCAGCAGACGACTAGCACGTAAAGTGCGTACCGAAAACAATCGTCTCGGGAAGACGGCAACAAACTGAAACTTGAAGCAATAAAGAAAAACTGCAAACCCATTAAAGATTTTTCTGATTCATTACTGCAGACAAAATAAATTGTAATTTCCCTAGTTCATATTGCTCACAATTCAGTCGCAATCGTGTGATACAAATTAATCAGTACCTCCAATCAAGAATTGATTTCACGCTTGATGTGTTGCAAAAATTCGACGTAAGAATGTGTCGATTCCGTGCGATCGTCAACCAGGCGCCGCACAACTACTTCGCGTATGGGTGATTCCTCCCTGTAATCAGAAGATTAGAGTAGAATCAATCTATGAAAACACTTACGTCACAACGATAACTGGACCCAAGTAGAACTTAAGAGCAGTAACATGCCGAACGAATGAATGCACTTTTTCCGAGAACGCATTATCATAGGTCCGGAAAGAATGCTGGAAAAGTCACAGATAGATGGCATGGCATGCAAGACTATAGAAAGTTACCTCATCTATCTCCTGATAGGTGCACCCAAACAGATCTTGAATCAACTCAGGAGGTGAGTTTGAAGAGACATAAAGAAAGAGTGCAGAGCCAGCTTCGATGAGATAAATACCATCTCTGCTTATGTATTCGAACGAAAGCGGTAGCGCTGATGGCCACTGCCCCTCTTCGAGCTAAGTCATGGACTAATATGAAACAAAAAGGAATGAAGAAGAAAGTCATACCTGCATTATCTCATTGATCCTATACATTTGAGGGTAGAATTCAGAGAGTATTTGTTCCAATGGACAGAACCGCAACATAAGCATTGCAGCAACGCGATCGTCTAGCTTGATACTGCGACCAGCACAGAAAGATGTCTACAATTGAGAACATGCTAGAAACATAAGAAAAGAGCTATTAGAACCGGCCCAAAATGGCCATGTTTTGGGCTTAGTAATTCAGAATTGAATGCGACAAGAAGAATTTCAATGAAAACATATGCAAAGCGAATAGGTACCGCCCCGACACAAGAAGATTTTTATCTAAACTTACGTGCTTCAACATGGCAAGTGCATAGAGCGGGAATAATCGAAGATGTCCGTGACGAGGAGCTAACAGTCCACCAGCTCGGCCTTGTCGCATAGCTCTCTGGTAAGCACCTAGCGCATCCACTACTGCATTCACAATCGCCTCTCTGCTGTCCGACAGAGGCGATCCAGTCAGAGACCGATCAACTCCTGAAACGCAACCTCCAATTCCAAAACAACTCCAAAGCAATTCATATAGATTCACCAATTTTTGCTATAAGAGAGACCGTCGCCTTCAAATCGAAGTTGTTGTACACTTGCGCCAAATCGGCGGTAGTAGGCAAACACATCGTATGTACGCGTATACGCCGATCCCCTGTAGATGTTGGTTTTGGCTGTTCACAATAAGATAAAGAATCAGCATACCTTTACTCGAAGTGTATAAAAGAGCTGCTTGGAAGCATACAAATGTCGAAAGTTTCTCCTCTAGCTCCACCTGGACAGTATTTTTGAGATAGAAACAACACAAAAGAGGTATCATTACCTGAACAGCGATTGCAGAATCTGGATTGACATTTGCAAGTGCAAGTAAATCCGTGGATCTAACAAAGAAATTTCCATAAAATGTCGACAGACTCAATCCTATGATATATAAGTTGAAACATTGATCTAGCGGACAACTTTGCTGAAAGCTCGCCTCTAGAGCAACGGATGCGCAGAACGGCCTCAAAGCCGATCTTTCTGGTCAGATATCTCGCAAGAATCTTTTCAAAACGTTTAACCTGAAAAATAGGAGCGACTGTTTGATTGGCTTCCATTTGAGCGGGAGAAGCATTAACGAAAGGAAGAAGAGATTTTAATGCTCTTGCGACACCAAATCCGAGACGATCTCCCCTCTGCATCACTTTTTGACCCAAAAAATGAGCGTACCTGTATTATATCGTTAAGGCAATGGTAGTTCGGAAAGTGATAAACGCATCCAGTGGAGAACTTAGCGATTTCAGCTGTAAAATTACATCAAGTTGGCCATAGATAAATGCGCTCAAACATACCTAACGTGGCAAGATCTGCATATTGCGTGTTCAACATAAAGAGATCTAGAGCGACCTGATGTCCCGTACATTCCAAAGCTAGTGTCTTGTAGAAATCAGTTGCCGGGACGAGATTTTGCACGTCCTAAGCAGTTGAATATCAAAGTATGGTGCCAATGGAAAGAGAACTTACACTTCCAGCCCTTTGATTTGGATCTTCTCGAGGCTTCAAAGCGGCTGAACCAAGCGTTGGAAGCGTGGCTTGGAAGACAGTGATACGACCACCAATTTCCGCCTGCAACGGTATTGACTAGACATATCGTCAGTGGTTATACAAACGCTGGAATCTCGGATCTTTACGTTGATCGTTCGACTAGCTAATTTCTCTTTATTGAAAGGATTACAGTTTCTTTTTCGCAAATCGACTGTGAGACGACTGCAATAAAGTAAGAAAATCAAGAAAGATGTGTAGATCGTCGAAACCTATGTTGAACTATGCGATGGCGATAATGTTTCAAGATTCTCCCGAAGACAGTGAAAGAAATAAGATGTTCAGAATTTTTGGAAGAACCATGTTTGAAAGCGAGTCACAACGGAAAAGTCTGAGTAAAACGCATAGTGGACCAGCAGATATATAAGCACAAAAACAAAAACGAAAACCTACTATCAAATCATGTACGATTCTAAGCGCAGATCCAATGCAACTGGAAGAGCTGGATGCTCTCTCAAAAAGAACGGGCAACTTCTCTACAAATGATCGCACAACCTACAAAAAAATTGAGCATTATCGGGGTATACAGTTGAATACAAAATAACTCACATCAGCATTCTTTCTGAGAGACACCAAAATCCCTTGATGTGTCGGAAGAAACATGTCTATAAAACTGGTTTCATGTTATTATACAAAAAAGATGATAAACATACCGTCGACTTCATCAACAATCAATTCTTTTGGCAAACGCCGAGATCCCGAGTTGAATTGAAAGAAATGCACCATCGAGTCAACAGCAACAAATGCAATCTAAACGAAGTAGCTAATCCGAAGAGATCACAGTAAAAAGAAAAACTGGATTTAAATGTAAAGAGCGCACCTGAGTTCTGTCATCTCCAGGAAGCTGATCCAGGTTGATGAGAAGTTGCTCAGAAAACGCGAAGAGATACCCTCGAATATATATTTTTAATCGAAAAAACCACGTTAAAATGAAAAAATAATTGATAACTCAGCATGGAAAAAAAGCTCATGAATTGTTAGCAAGCTAGCATCTTTTCACACTGGAAACCAAAATACGTAACTAAACCTACCAGCTTCAATTGCTGCGGCACTGACATCCAATACAAATACATAAACGGCTGGTTGTGGCGGCCGCAACTATAAAATTGTTTTCAAGATTTGCTTTACCAGGAAATCATAGAAGCGCGATGCTCAAAGTATTCGGTGCATAATGCAGCCGGTGTAAGCTGAGTTCTCCAAATGATTATGAACGAAAGTTTCCCATGACTTCAGAGTTTATGATTAGACCCATCCACCGCGCTCTAGCTATACAGCTACCAAACAATAACTTGTCATCTGACAATGAGAGCTGCATAGGTTCTATCGCCGCACAATTATCGGCCGCTTGTACAATTGATTTCTTCATAATCGTAGACTGACCATATATTCATTCGGAGCGATGAATTCGACCGTTGCATGTTTGATTTCTGGTCGATTGACAGGATCTCCAAATGATTTTGTGTTAGGATCCCAGCAAAAGTCATCGGGAACTAGAAAAAGTGTGGATTACATAACGGTCAAAAATGGACATCGAAGGCAAAGCGAAGTCATGAATTCTGTTACAGTCTACAAGCTACCTTTGGACAAAAAGACCGTACGACAAGTGCTAACATAATAAAAACAATTTCTCAGGATGAAAGTCTAACTCACGATCATTATTTCTACTGCACATATTGCATTTCCAATGTCGTGAATCCGGTAAGTAAATATATGGATTAATGTATGTACGACAATATCGACAGCGCACAATCGTCGATGTTTGTATTATGTTAAGGTTCTGAAAGGGATATATGCATATTGGAAGTGAAGCCAACTACAAAGTGTACCTTCATATCGCGAAACGGATGCAAGGTGAGCCCAAGTGGAAGACGACTCTTTTTTAGTAGCTCTTCATTCTGCGGAACCATGGCCAGTGTACATCGGAATACACTGAAAAGCACACGATTATAGCTGTGTAGACCATAAATATCGAAACACTACTTCTCAACACAAAGTAAAAATTTCCGATGCACCGGCACTTATTATTTAGAAGCACCCTAATGAAAACAGCAGGATATTCATGATTAAAAATCAAAAACATACGCTGGATCCACTCGTGCCGTGTTGTTAGCCATGTTATGCGGGAGACTGTACTCAATATCGTCAAATCCAGGCTGCAAAATATTTCTTTCCGCCATCAAATCAACGATGTCCGATGTGTATGGAGGGCTGGATGCCATACGAGAGTCACTTTGATATGCTCCGGTCCATGAGGGATGAGTCGGATGCGGTGTAGTCGTCATAGGGCCCATATTCTATGTAATGAAACTGTTACACAAAAGTAAAATGTGATTGCTAATTACCATTTGGCTGAATCCTTGTTGCATCTGATTCATACCAGGTGGCATCCCTGCTGTTGGTGTCGACGGAGCAGGATGCGTTGACGGAGGATGGTACGATTTAGCTTGAACAGGAGGCATTGGAGGCACTAAAACATCTAGTTGAAAGACAAAAGCCCGTGATAAAAAAAACAAAGAAGTGGAAACTGACTCGGAGGTGGCATTGCTTGTGCTGGAAAAGGTGACGAAGACTGGTGATTGTATGAGCTATTTTGATTCATAGGAGCAGGAGGAAGCCCAGCGGCTGGCTAAACAGCTCACAACTTACATGCAACTTGAGAATTACATAACAGTACCTGATAAGATCCAGGATGAACTGGCCTCTGAGGAGCAGGTGGAAATGTAGTTACTCCCGGAAATGATGGAGGAACGGGTGGCGCTGCAGTACCACCAGGAACTGCTGGAGAAGGCATGGCTGAATTAGTTCCAGCAAAGGATGGAGGGATAGGTGGTGTAGCAGTGCCTAAGGGATATGCAGGTGAAGGCGTAGTTGTATGGGATCCAGAAAAAGTTGGAGGAATGGGCGGAGTTGGAGCAGTGCCGAAAGGCTTGAAGGCAGAAGATGGTCCATTTACGTTAGCATAAGGTTGCCCCGTCGCGACCTAAAATACTCGGATACAACAAGCGCAGCTCGAAAAGGTATAAAAGTAAAACAATGTAGATTTTGAAAAATTAAGAAACCACAGAAAAAAACAGTGAAATGAAGCTTGTTCGCAATGAAAATGAAGGCAGCGTCCAGGCAGAACTGGACCTATGGGGTTTTACGTGAAAAGTACTTTTGGGGCGCTAACTAAGGCACTGCCAAAGCTGCAGCGTGGGTGGCGCTCTAACGGTTGAGATATTCCCCTAGAAACTGAATCCCGCGATCGTATTCGCATGGATTCACGGCAGTTTCGCGCCAGGACACACGCTTTGCGCCATGAATCCATGCGAAATACGATCGTGGGGTCCAGTTTCGAGTAGAATATCTCAGCTAGAGCACTACCTGCGCTGTCGGTTATGCAGTGGCTTAGTTAGAGCCCCAAAATTTACTACCCACGTGAGATCCCCATGTGTCCAGACTTGTCTGGACGCTGCCTTTGAAACATAAACTCTCAATATGCATAAACGGCGTACTAAGCTGTTCCATGCACAGAAAACCTAAAATCACCGATCATATTGCACTAAAACTCCAGATCATTGCTTGAAAAGTCCAATACAGCCGATACGCTTTCTCGAAGCGCAACATGATAAATTAGGCGGGCTTCGACTAGCACGCTATATCTGTTCAAGACTTGAGGAAAAAAGTCCATGTATGCTTCAAAACGACAAGAAAGAAGATCTCTGTGGATAGAACTTCATGACCTGCAACTATTTGGGATCCAAACTCACTGAAAAATGGTGGTAAGAGGATTTCCTATTTCGAGTAGATTTCAGTCTTTAGGTACTCGCGCAGTTCTAACCGTGGTATGGTCAGTCCCTCATAAATAATCTAACAAAATTAAGTGTGATGCGCAATTAGATTAAATTGTGATCAAAATCATTTTGAAATGAGAAATGAATGAAAGCTAGTCATTACGTAGAATGCGAGATAAATTCTGAATGATATCAAAAGCAGAACATTGAATGGAATCAATTTCAAGCAAATTCAATAGTTGGCAAATATGCCGACAATTGCTATTCACGTGCAGCAAACACCTTTTAGCACATGATGCAAAAGCTACGACTCCACCTTCATACAGCCTTCGATAGCCTATTTATGCTTCACGCTGGGTCACAATGGCAAATCATATCAAGCATGCAAGTAAGTAATTGTGATATTGGAAAGGCATCGAAAAGAAAACTAAGGAATCATATCTTTGCTTTTTGCAAAAAAAAAAACAGGATCAAAGGCATATACTCACTGGCCCATTCTGCGGTAAGCCATTTACTGCTTGTGTGTTAGGAGGAAAATTTGGCACACTCGGAAACTGTGCCACCGATGACGGTGGAGGTTGAAATGGGCTCCCTCTCAACGACGCACTTCTGAAAATCTTTGCAATAACAATGTACAAGCGAAATGGACTCTTGTAGAAAATGTAACTCACGTCTGCGGTTGTACTGTGGTGACTGGTCGTGCGAATTGCGAGAACTGGGTAGTGGGCTGATAAGGGGTGCTCCCAAAGGCTTGGGGAAATCCCACCTTCTGAGGAACGGCATTGGACGGGTTAGCCATCCAACAGGATGAGCTCCACCTACAAAAGTTGGATGAAGCGTTTGAGCCAGTTAAACAAAATATCTGAATGGCGAAAGACCGAAATAAAATGAGCAAAAAAATCACAGAAAATATAGCATTTATATTGATTGGAGCCAATAAATGTGATATTACATGAAAATGTGTGACGCAAACGTATGCAAGCAACGTAACGTGCAAAAAAAGATGCGGGTATTTGAACAGTTGGCACTCACACAGAGAAGCTTCTATGCCAACTAATCTAGCGCGATTCCCTCACATTAGCATAAAAAAGTTGCAATAAAAAGCAGTCATGGGTTGAACTGCGCAGCAGTAGCGAAACATGGAGTTACAAAAACTACCCAGTCGCCCATAAACTCCAGCACTCATGAATAACTAGGAAAAGACCAATAAAAGACACAGTGAGGATAGATCGAAAATAAAACCAAGAGAATGGGAATATCCATCGGCTCCAAAGAGAGTTTCTATGTACAACAGCAAGGAACACATCTACGAGAGATAATGTTAGGGAGAATGTGAATGAAGTAAACCCATCAGAAGGAAAGATTTTGAGAATAACTAGTCTTTGATACATGAAAACGAGGCGACTGCACCCCCAAAAGTCACGATCGTTTACACCTGTGAAAGTGCCAAAGTACGCGATATTGCGTCAAATGACATGCGCCACTGTACACACAATCATGGCCCAGTGCGAATAGAGTATAAACACTCCGCAAGCGGCTAAAACTATATAGCAATCTTACCCGCCCGCTGTGAAATGCCATATTGGGTCAGTTCCCCAAAATATGAAGCTGTCAGCTCATAAACTATTGGTGCCAACAACAACGGGACCCCGTAGATGAAAACGACCCCGACACCGTTGCGGTGGAAACGGCGATTACCGTAATCGATTAGATTCGCAGCGCTGGTGCGCCGCGGTCGCGTGCTCCGCCGCTCTCTCGAATATTATCGGTCATCTTTTTAAACTAAAGCATGCTTGTTTTCTCGGTCGCCCACGATTGTTATCGATAGCGATGCGAGATTTCAGCAATTTCGAAGTTTCTTCAAGGTTTCGCATGGATCCACATATCACAATGAGGTCATTTTAGCTAGAAATCATGTTGTGATCGACTTGCCTTTCGTTCAGAGCTTATTTCCAGCCGCTGTTTCAGGGAATTCTTATTTTTTTTCACAGTAAAGAATTCTGCTTATATTTAGCACCTATTGTTGTGCACAGCCAAGCACTTTCCATCGCAAAATCATTGGCATTCTATTTTCTGGTCAGCATCGATTACCATTCTAATCTTCTTCGCTTCATGCTTCGATGAAATCTGTACTTAATAGAACTTTTTGAGACGTACGCACTCATGACTTTCATAGTGTTATCGATAGAAAATACATTCGTAACTTGCCGTCACAAACTAATCTATCATTTCTTTGTTTCTGTTTGTCCAGTTGATACTTCCCAATTCAGCTGTTTATATCGAGTATCGAGTGGTTTCTCTTACATCGTGGTTGAATTTACTCCATATTTTGTTGTGCTCTTGCTACAATATGCAATTTGTTCAGTGAGCATGAATTTTGCCACGCTTGATTTTTTGCTGTAGAGCTTTTAAAGGCAGTGTCTCACCAAAATTTAGTTGCCGAAATTTTTGCATTTTGCAAGCCTGTCGGACCCTGTCTAGCATTGTATGGACTTAAAATCGCACGAACTTCCCAAAAACCCCGTTTTCTGGAGGCCCCGCGGAAGCAACGTGGACGAGTTGTACCTTCCAACTTCAGCCTCAGCCACAGTGGCAGCAACAGAGGGGAGGTGGATGCCAAGTGGAGGGACATGTTCAAACGCGTAAGGGGGAAGACCGAAAGAGTCGTCCGCGCATACCAACTGTCTCTCCGCGTACCACTTTGAGCGAATTTTTCTCAGCGTAGAGGGGGTCAAATTGAGTGGGACTTGTTGCAATGGCCTATCTAGAGGTCCCTATAATAGAATATGTAAAGATCCCCGCGACCTCAACTTTGGTGAGACACTGCCTTTAAGCATTTGAACATTTCAACTTTCAAATCCTGTATTGTACGCATGGATTCGCACACTTTCTAATATTCTTCTCGTCCTTTTCTTCAATCGAACGTTTCTTTCAGATACCATGCAAAACGGGGAATTAAACGGAAGTGGAGAGTATAAAGATAAACAGGGTGGGGGTGCTGGGCTGCCCTTGACAAAAGTTGAGAACAACGAAGGAAAGAAAGTTTTGACGAACGGTATGAGTAGAGTCCACCGGATTCTATCCGAAGATGAAATCAGTCAGGGCAAAACTACGCGATGGACTGAGCTTGAAATCCATGGTGTGTCACGTTTTTTCTTTTTTTTTTTTTTGGAAAAGCCTCTTCTTATTATATCACTGTCTCGCCAAGAAATTTATCTTCTAGGGCGGGTAAAGAACCTTTCAAATGCATTATGGCAAGTGAGCCACTTATCAGCGCTATTCCTAAACGGAAATCAACTTACCCGCGTCCCCCCAGAGATATCTCAGGTTTGTGAACGTCTATGATTGATCAGCTCTACAAAGTTTACAGTTTTCCCAAAACACCAGGAACGTGTATCAACTTTTTCAGTTAACGAACTTGACAATGTTGGATCTGTCTCACAACAAATTAAGAAGTCTACCGGCTGAATTAGGTGACATGATATCCTTATGTCATCTGTACCTCAATCACAATCAACTCCGTGTGCTTCCATATGAACTTGGAAAACTGTTTCGGATACAAACCTTAGGTAAGCTATGCGTTGTGCAGGCTCGTCTTTAAAAATTACAGTAAAAAAGATTTATGACTTCTAATTTACTGCCTCTCTTTATGTCAACTGGAAGTTCTTTCCACGTAGCGCATCTTCTGAATAACAATGGGGAGAAATTCCATCAGTCGCAGGATAGGACATGCTTAGAAATTCTGTTTCCGCGTTTTTAGTCGACTTTTTTTTTATATTATGCGAATCAGTCTTTGTCAGTACAGCCTGCCTATATTTGGTTGATATAGGCGGGGGGGGGGGGGGGGGGGGAGGAGGATTAGAGGCACAGATCATATCAGCATGACTGTTTTGTGCTATCTTTTCTCCATCCGCCATGTGCGTAACATGGTATCTCCTTTGCTTTTTGTGAAATAAAGTATGGGCAGTTGTTTGTTTGTTTTTTTTTCGTTTGTTCCAAGTACGCATTTAACACATAAACATCGCAGAAAATTTTTTTACCATTGCAAATTAGAGCTCAAAAACAAAGATAGGTTAAAATTTGCCGAGCATTGCAAGGTTAATTTACAGGTCTCCAAGGGAATCCTTTGTCTCCGGAAATAAACAAGATCTATCACGAAAGCAACGGATCACATAAATTATTGCACTTCCTTCACGATCATTTAGCAAGTGGGTCAATTTTTTGTGCTTTATTGTCAGTAGTTTTTTATCTGTTACGATTATACTAATGAGCTTTACCCGACTGGAACAAATCATCAAATAAGCCGTTTATCTTCTCTATGAGCTCTTGATCAAAAAAGTATGATTGCTACTTATCTCTCCAATTTATCAATGTACGTGTACGCAACAAGACAGTAGAATTCAACAAATGCACTGTCGTTTGCTTATTAGACACGCAATGCTCCAGAGAAGGTGAAACACGTGCATTTGAGCTCAGTGAAATCTGCATGATATTTCCCCAACGTGACTGTCACCAAAATATGCATGTCATCTTACCCATTCAAAGTATATTTCCGTCATGTTAGGATTCTGACAGCACATAATCGACAAATTTTCGTCCCAAAAATCTTATTCGTAAAGGGTTTTGATACTCATACGGCAGAATGTTGCCTCTCGCATCACGTATCTTCTAGTCTACTTGCTTGATAACAAATAACTTGTAGTGTATGTTCTGAAAGGTTGATTTTATCCACCATCGTTTTGAAATCGTGAATTGGCTCGAAATATCTCTCTTGTTTTTTCCTTGATTCGTGTATTTCTCTGGTCGTGCTTCTGCTTTATAACTGAGGTAGCTGCACGATGCCTTCCACAACAGTGCCAGTAATGAGCGTTGAATTATTTTGAGCTCAATTGTGATGTTTCAACCTTTTGTTCACTTTATTTGTACATTCTATACATTAATGTCTATATCATTCAAAACCCTTCGAGTTTTTGATTTCTTTTCGACAGTCACAGCGTGTTGGATAGTAATACTTTGAGTTTTGCGGTCAGTCAATGTGGCGCCTGAGTCTTCGATAGTCGCCGCCAGCAGCATTGACATTTGGGCGCCTAGAAACAAGATTGAAAGGGAAAAGATTTGAACTTTCGTTCTATACTGGCCACAGATACGATTACCGACGTTAAGGCGCCTCATCATGGCTAAAACTATTGCGAAGTAAAGTTTAGATGCATGGTACGCGTATATCCTTTCTATACTATCGCGTTATGTCGTGTTTCAAATGACGACTTGATCTCAAATGTATTCTATGCATATCTTACAGATTTAAAGTTGTTTGAACTTTTTCCAGCTTTTTACTTTTTCATGTTTATTCATAAGTCATCTGTAATCTAATGCCAGCCTGTCATGTTATTGACAGCTATGTTCTTTCCAAGCTTGAGGAGTCGTGTATACTGCATTCAACATTTGATTGAACGTAGTATATCATCACGTTTTTTAATCGGCTTTTTTTAACTTCACATGGTCGAAGTTCTGCTTTTTTGCCGGCGGTCACCTTCGCGAACATCTCATCTCATCTATCATTCTTTGCGCGCACTCTAGGCCACACCTCTGCGGGTCTAGTCGTGCACTCCACCTATGCCTACATCAGCAGCTTACCGGCATTAGCATCTGCATCCGATCCACTCCGCTCCACGATCTACACTTTCTTTGATCGCTGGTCGGCATGCGTTGATATTATTGCTGATATATTATGTCGGATGGATTCTCCAACCGAAGTTCCGATAAAAACAACTCATTTGCCGACCAGCATGTGAATGGGCAAGGCAGAAATTTAGTTGTCGGGCGAGGAACTGGAAAACGTTTTGCTCGGCGTGCCAAGAGATGGGCCGAGTTACAACAAAGACGCTACAATCAGCGCCTTGTGGCTATCCGCAGCGGAATTCTGAACCCTTCCGAACGATCGTCCCTGTTTTGCCCTTTCGAAGCAACTGAGTCCGTAGAGAAGGAGGATTTACTAAAATCTTCTTCTGGCTTTGACGATCTTCGGCAGTCCATTTCTTGCTGGGTTTCACCCTACTGCCAAGATTTTGCTGCACATTGTTCTATCTCTTCACTGGGAACAACTCTCGTTTTCAACAACGCATCTCTAAAATACAACGAAGAGAAGAGCTCGTCTATCTGTCAGATAGCGTCAGATTCGATCTATTCGTCACCCAGTTCGAGGTCTTCGAATCAAGGCTGTATGCGCTGTGCTACATTAGCGTCGAATACGGACCTCACTGAACTGCTTTCCCTTATTACGCACGATTCATGTGTCACGTCCGCTCACAGTGCGAACATATCTGTATGTGGCTCTATACGCCATCTCAGCGAACTCAATCTGCATCTGCCATTCGATTCTCTTGCAAGTGGTAATACTTTCGAGTGCTATAGTTTTGTTAAAATTACATTCTCAGAATTGCATGTTAACTTAAAGCACAAAAGGTGCCACTACTGCAGGTTCCATGCAGCTGTATTTCTCTTCGTGTTCTTTATTATGAAAGTTCTCGACCATGCAAGTTTAGAAATGCGCATTTTCCTTCGTTCCTGTAAAGGAGGCTATTTTTATTGACAGTAGTCGTCAAAACTACTACCTTCCAATGCCATCAAAGGATTCGGTAATTACATAGGTTTGCTCCTATGCAGGTCATTCATGCGCTTTGCGCGACCATGGTCTGATTTGAGCGAGTGACTGAAGAACACGATCTAGTTAAGATTCCGCGATTTTTTTGGGGATCTACTCACTTTGCGCTCAAAAGCTGGCAGCAATTGCTCGCTGAAATATTTTTGTTATTTGACAGAATCCGATAATAAATTCATAGTCCATTGCACTAATAGAAGTCCTTAAGTTTTTACTTGAGACTTAAAGAATAGATTCTGTAGACGCTAATATTAATGAATATTGAACTATTTCAGTCAACACTGCCCCTCCACCTGAGCGGGAATGGGTGATGATTCGACACGCCGATCCTGACCGACCTATAGGTATGCTCATTGCAGCTTATTTCATCTTTTTAGTCAGTTTTTTGGTCTTCCTTCGATTCCTGTTGTGGCTTAAACTTGTCCTCGTGTAGTGTTGCGCATATATGTTGGAGAAGACATTATAGTGGTTAAGTTGTGCGCTCTATCGAAAACCGGTTTACGTATATAGCTAGCTGCTAAACATCTGGGAAATGGTTCACGATTAAGAGCAATCACTGTATCTTAGAGAACTAAAGCTTAGATAAAGCAAGTTACACGTATGGTTTTACTCTTCTTGAATGTCTTCGGTCAAGATCTTTGTGATACATACGATCGAGACAGCGCATAACTTGTTTTCAAGACAAATTGCGCTAAGTTGATTTGTGACGCTGAATTTCTATAATGAATTCGATATAAGCTGTTTGAGCAGTATCCACGATAGTTTTTAAATCTGACTTTATTCCAGCCACATTCACCGTCTTATGCTATAATGTCCTCTGCGACAAGTACGCTACGGTCAACCAATATTCCTATTGTCCCTCTTGGGCGCTGAACTGGGAGTATCGGAAGATGTCCATAATGAAAGAAATTCGAAATTATGAAGCTGATATAATCACATTGCAGGTTTGAGTTGAAATGTGGTCTTTCATTGCAATATGTTTTGATTATTGGTTTTATTTCTTCTCTGTTGCGGAAGAATTTGAACGTAGTTTCTACGGTTTTATCTTGTTGTGGTGTTGCAGGAGGTAGAAACTGAGCAATTTCGCTTACTATTCCAACCGGAGCTGAAGTCGCTCGGTTATACCGGTATCTTTTCGCCAAAATCTCGCGCGAAAACGATGAATGAGGAGGATCGGAAATACGTGGATGGATGTGCCATTTTTTGGAAATCGGAGAAGTTAGTGCAAATATATATTTTAATGAATTTCATTGCAACTTATATGTTACGAACTTCTTCTCAATGCAAACTTACCTTCAAGTACTTTTATCTAGACCTTTATCTTCTTTTTCCAGATTTGAAATGGAACGGGAACATCTGATAGAATTCACTCAAGTAGTCGTCAAGAAAGCATCAACGTCAGAACACATGCTCAACAGGGTTATGCCCAGAGACAACATCGCCTTATGTGCTGTATTGCGCATCAAGGAAAACGTTTATAACAATCGTGAGTTAGCTTTTTCTCCTTATTTTTTTTATCTGTGTGATTTCCCTATGTTTTTTTTTATTCTATTCGTCTACAATTTTCTGTAGGACGAATGACGATGGCTGCAGCCGATAACGTAGTGGGTTCACCTCTCGTTGTTTGTACTGCACATATTCACTGGGATCCTGAATTATGTGATGTCAAATTGGTTCAAACATTGATGCTTGCCCACGAACTCTATAGGCTTCTTGAAGAGGTTACCAGTCATATTTCAAATTTATTTGAAAAGTGTGTTGAATGCTTCTTAGGTGGCTGAACAATTTCGGATAACACCACAACAAACACCCGTTCTTATATGTGGTGATTTCAACTCGCTGCCAGACTCAGGTGATCAGTCATTCCTATTGCGACTATATGTTGTTTTTTAGCCATGTATTCTAGAGTCTTCGCTATCTTTTATGCGACATTTTTTTTCTCATCGGAAGTGAAATCTCTCATGCGCAAATATGCGAAAGCGCTGCATCTTTCAGAGTCTCTCTGGCGGATGTGTTTGATTATGATCTAGTGCGCTTTTCCTCTCAAAATCTTATTAATCTTCTGTCTTAAAACGCATGCTAGCATAGACAAATGGCAATTCCTTGTTTTTTTTCGCATTGTAGATCCTAGATCTGATCTTGTCTACATGTAGCAATCGTTCAAACAGTTTTTGCATAGCTCCTTATGGACATCTATGCGCAAGAAATTTCATGACACCCTCAACGAAACCAGATGCGTTTGATTACTAGCAATATGACGCTATCGCGCACATATCCCCTTAGGCGCTCACAGCTTTGGGTGCGCAAGTTGATGAAAAGTGCGCAGTGGATTGAAAAAAAAATCTCAATAAAGAAGTTGAAGTGTGCATATCGATTTATGATTGGATTATGCATTCTAATAAGGAAAGCTACCTAACTTAGCTCGGCCTTGGTAAAATGCATAAATATTGTGGATCAGCTTCAAACGCTGATTCCAAATATGCTATTCCTAGCTGCCATGCACTATTCCGAAGCGAGTTATGGGTTTTTTCTTGCGCAAAATTGGAATACTACTGAACATCGGAAGACTGCTTGTAGATAAAAATCTGCAAGAAAAAGGTGCTGAAGTATCGAAATATTACAAATCCAATCTTTTCTCACTAAAAAAGCTTAACGCAGGTGTATCAACACTCAAATGATGATGACTTGAGTGAGTCGATGAGCATGCCAACTTTGTGCAGGAAAAAGCCCATAATTCGCTTCAGAATGGTGCGTGGCAGCTAGAAATAGCATATTTGGAATCAGCATTTGAAGCTGATTCAAACTATAAATGCTCCTTGTCAAAAGGCCGAGCTAAGTTAGTTAGCTTCCCTTGTAAGAAGTATGCTTAAATTTTGGCGCTGGTACAGGTGTGTGCCTTGGCATCAATGATAGAAGTTGTAGCGAGAAGCATTGAATATGATTGAGAAGGCTGTATGACAAGTGCGCGTAAAGCGTCATCTCATGTCTTTCTGACCTCTGGGTGTTTATTGGCGGGAAGACTATCTCATGTCCATTGACTTTCTATGTTTATCGAGCCCAGTCATCCTGCCGGATCTGATCCTTGGTTATGCTTGTCTGTTATGCTGCAGATCATAGCAATTCTACTCGATCAGTCGCCCTGTCATTCTCTTCGGAAGAAATCTGCTCAATCTTTGTAGTTCATTTCATCTTCGATTCTCTTACCAGGTTTTCTACAATGTCTTGTTGACAAGACGAATCCGTCTGGGTACATCAGGATCAGATGGCAACAGCTTTCTACCACGTCATTTTCCATTTTCTGAGGCTGAGCACCTGTGCAATCTTCCACTGTGCGCGAATATTTTTACTACGCATTACCGAAGCTTGCCAAATGCTATATATTTGGGGTTATGTAACTTTGGACGAGTTTTCGCTTCCAAGATCTGATCTCATTAGGGAGAAAAAGTAATGGTAATGCCTCAGTTTCCTTTTTTCCTACACTCTTCGCCTACTTAATCCGTAGTACTTAGTTCTAGTATGTTTTTTACGCTTTCTTGCGAAGTACTGATGAGGGGCGGCTAGAAAGCCGCACTACCGGTATACTTCTAAGCCCCGAAACCGGTGTGTGAAATTTATTTATTAACACTAAACGAAATTAGACTTTCGTGTTTTCTTTCACATCCTAATCTCCACTGTTTATGCGTATGGTTATTGTTGAAGTGATGCCTGGATTTACCGAAACATGGAGTAAATGGGAATTTTTTTCAAATCGTCTGAACTTAAGATTATCCATGTATTCTTGTTTTGGAACCTGGGCATATTTGAATGTAAGTTGATGTTCTAGTATCTCTTATGCCGCATAGGTTGGTATGGTAGAACTTTATTGACTTTACGGTTCGAACAATTTGTCCTTACCAACCTAAGCGGCTTAAGGGGACCAAATTGCGCAGATCACTGACTATAATCTCAGCTCAAGCAGGCCAATGAAATATGCTTTCATTCCATCTCCACCGCAATCATTTCGAAGCTAGGGTTGCTATAGTTGCTAAAAATTCGGAAGAAATCAGGTTTTTTAGTAAGCAAATTCTCGCGGTACTCTTTTCTAAAGTTCGTATTCTTCTTTCATTTCCACTCCTTTATAAAACCGCACGTTTATTTTTGAATTAGTTGCATTCAAATGTTGTTGAATTCATTTCACAACAGTTGCAGCAGGTCTTGTTTGGCCAGGTTTTCTGCGGATTATCTTAGTCAACTAATTAGATGTGACAATCCGTGTATAAAACAGAAAGTAAACATTTGCTTGCCTATCACAGAGCATAGTTCGCGCAGCACTTGTTGCGAAAACTTGGTGGGGACTAGTTTTTTTGCGAAGACTATCCTGGTTCGGATCGCCATTATAATCACAAAGTCCCCGTGAGCGTTTGTGTTCATTGCGGGGACAGAAATACGCTCTTAATCTTTCTGGTAGGAATGCTATATGAGAATTGCTTTTGTCGCAGGATTTTTTGCAGTGGAGGCTGATTTGACAGAGCGACTGAAATTTTCACATTCAATAAAGTAATGGTGTTTAGCAGGGAACAACTTACTGATCTAAGTCGCTTTTTTAAACCGACAACTTTACCCACGATGACACAAGAGCACGATACCAGTTTCTAGCACGATGCTGTAAAATATTAGGTTGTCCCGAAAGTTTTGTCCGTTTTTGTCATTGCTCACTAAAAGCTACAGAACACCAATCCTTGGACGAACTAGGTATCACTTGATTCAGACTTTTACCCTCTTTCTTACCACTATATTAGCTTTCTGATCGATCTTGTCTTTGCGTTATCTCTTTGGCTTTTTGAGCTGCTTAACAGAACGCTAAATCTTTCCTGAATTTCAAAAATCTTTGTCCTGATATTTTCAAAGAGCGCTGGTAACCATCATGTAGAGCAAACTTTTGTTTACAGTGGAGTCATTTTAGATCACAAAGGCCACGTTTACCAAGTCCGTTATAATTATTTTCAAGGAAACCTGCGGGTTTTCGATTACGTTTAACATGTAAAATTACTGAAAATTTCAAAAAGCTGTTTTTTTTCAAAGCAAATCAAACTTGGTTATGTTCCATAAGTATAGTTTAATAACAATCAATTTTCAATTCGCAGAAACTTCAAAGCTCCCTTGTTTTTATGCAGCAGTTGTATGTTTTATGACTTTTCCAAAAACAGAGACCCCCGATGAAATAATTTTTTGAAGCTAAAAACAGCAGATTAGGGGAATTCAAATATTATATCATATAATCAGAGAATTGCTCTATTTGATCCATACTCAACCCTTTGAGAAACTTTGGAATGATATTTTCAAAAATTAGCCAAACTTCGAGCAGATAAGAATGACGGGTGAAGAATTGTGGTGATTATCAAAAAAAGCATACTGGATGGTGGTACGAAAATGTAACCATAAGAAAGAGAAGGAAAAGCTGCATCGGATGCATGTTGAAATTCATTCAGGTCTTGATTGTGCGTGGTTTCATAGTGGTTTAAAAAAACGAACAAAACTTTCGGGACAACCTAATATCAATGCTCAGAGCGTTTGCTAAGTCTGTTTCATCGAAAAAGTCATGATTTTTTTTGCCCAGTGACAAGTCCATGGGACACAGTTTTTTTTTCTTGAAATCAACGTCTTAGCCAGTATGGTTTTGGAAGAAGAAGTGGTGCTGCAACGCAAGTGTGGTTGAGCTAGAGAAGAACTTTCCAGATTTGAACGTTTCTTTTAAACCTTTCTTATCCATATTTTTGTTCGCACTAATAGAAATAATCACAGCAATAGAATTTGTGCACGGTAAGCTACTTTTTCGAATACTGAAAAGTGAAAAGTCGCTTTGCGGATTTGAAGAAGTTTACTTTTGTATAGGCCTTGACGGTCGGCGGACTACGGCCACGCGCATGTCCAAAAAAATTAAAACTGGTTACAAATGACATCCATTCACATGCTTTTCAATATCGCTTAAGCTACTTAAAGCTAGCATTTGATTTAAACGTTTGAGAGGAAACGAAAGTGACGGTGTGGGAACTAAAACTTCCATTTCTTGTTGATTACGTTGAGTAGCTTGCTGGTTGTAGTATTTTGGAGCTAGTGACTAGACTAATTCGTAGCAGTGATTAATCCAATCTTCTTAGGAGTGTTCGAATTCCTTTCGCGTGGCCAAATACCGAGATCACATCCGGAGTGGAAGGGATTTCGTGAAGATAGCTGCCTAGAACGATTTTCTGCATCAACTCGTGATCCGGCTATCTATACTCACTCGCTGCGGCTGGACTCTGCAGTAGAAGTTTGCAATATACCATTCACGAACTATACGTGAGTGAACTGCAAGTTGGTTGGGCTTTGTTGGAATCACATGATTATTGTTTTAGGTTGGACTTCAAAGGAATGATCGACTATATATTTTCTACGCCGCAGTCATTAGCAAGACTGGGTTTTCTCGGCGCTTTTGACTCAAATTGGGTTGCACAGAATAAGATCATTGGTTAGCTGTTTGTGCATTTATAGTTTAGTAGATTTTCCGCTCAATAGTGTGCTTGCGGTGCCGAGATTCCGCAGTAAAGTTTGCGCAGGAACAAATAGCTATGCCCCTAATGCCGGAATTTTGCGCGCGCAAATGGCCCGCGCTACAGGCGTAGCATTTGCGCTACGCGTAAAATTTGCCGCAGTATCTCGGCGCCGTATGCACACCATATTAGGCGGAAAATTTACTAAACCAAAAAATGTGATAATTCAGTTATAGATGTCTTTTTTAGGATTTCCACATCCACATGTGCCATCTGATCACATTCCCATTATGGCCCAATACGCCGTGATACCGACGAGTCACCAACGCGCACCGCCACCGCCGCACGCCTTGAACAACTATCCTCGATAGGACTAGGAGCGAGGACGTCGTCACAGTCGTCCGAATCGTTCGCTGAGTGTCCCTCACTCTTTGCCGGGTGTTGGTAGTTTTGGTAGATGATGTCAGGGTGGTGCATTATATTCTCTCTCTGTTCGTATATGCGTATGCGTGTATGCGCGTTTTCGCGTTCCAGTCTCCTCAAAGTTGTGTCAGTTAGCAGATTAGCTAGAATTATTTCCAAGTGTGATCGATAATCCTCCTTTCAGAGCGTTCAAGCATCTAGTTTCGCATGACTGTGTGTACATGTTTCTTGTCTCCATGATTGCATCATATTTGTAGCGGATCGTGTCCGTAAGTGTGCGTGCGTAGTGCTTGTGTGTGTGTTTGCAGTCTCCATCGTTCGTCTCGCAGAATCTCTGTTTTAGCTTAATTTATCCTGTGATCATGCGTCGGTTGATGCAGCATTGACCTAGGCCGGATCTCAGTCCAAGTGCTGTACAGGCTGCATCGTGCATGCGTCGCGTTAAATTTTTTGCTTTCTTCGTTTTCGTTCGTACGTTGTACATTATACCACAACCATTTGTCTGCGTTTCGTCGTCTAATTGATTGTTTTTTGCGATATGTCTTCAACTTGTACTTGTCATTGGCGGTTATGGGTAACACCGCAGCACCTCTATCTTTGTACTACTTCGCTCCCTTTGCACTCGCCCCATACGGTATTCGGTCCCGCCCCCAGCCCCGCCCCTAATTTGACTCTAGTTGTCCGTCCGTCCGTCCGCGTAACCTGGGTGTTCTGTTCTCACTTGCATTTTGTCCGGATCAGGCAGCGCCCACAGCAGCCTCTCCTTTCGCCCCCCGTTATCTCCGCATACACCCCACCTCGGTCCCAGCTGTCTCGCGTACAATCCCGTCACTCGTAAATTATTTGCCCAATTACCATATTTCGATGCGATTGATTGATTTTCAAATATTTTGTTTCTTTACCTTTCTTCTAAAAAAGATTGAGACTCATATCCCGCCAAGCAGAGGTTAATATTTGATATGTTACAGCCTCCTTCTATTTCGAAATTGTGGTTACGGTCACTCTTGTTTGATTTCAATTCAATTCCCATGTTTTCTCTTATGCGCCGTTATGCAAAACGGTCATAGATGAAAAGTAAAAATTTGAGTTATTCTTGGAACACACATTCAGTTAAAACTCAGTCAATCACAGAAAAAGATCGAGTCCGATAATCACAGTAAAATATGCAGCTTCATTATATCGTATATGAGAACATGAGATCACACGTGATTTATGTAGAAAGACAGATCATAGTTTGAGCTTAGCCAGGTAGTAGTTTGCATCACTTCCAAGGAGTAGATTCCCATGTCCATCTTCTATGGCTGTGGTGATGTCAGCAACACGTCCTTCAGGATCATGAAGAGACTCGGTGATTTTTCCTGTTTCCACATCAACCTGCAATTTTCGAACAACTTAGGATTCTTCTGTTTTTTGGAGTTTTAGATAGTCCAACCTTTAGCACTAGTCCATATTTGCTCGAAATCCATTCGGCAATAGCATTGACAGCTTGAGGCGAAAGCAGCTAGAAGTGGAGAGGTAATTTCAGAAAAAATGTCGATTAATCCAAGTTCTCAGATCTCTAAGAGATAAGGGAAGCGGAAAAGGAACAACGTTGATTGAGAAACACCTTTGTCAACAAGTTTCTTAGTGTTGGTCTGGCCGCAAGCCAGTTGTCCCCATCCGAACGTAATGCTGCTAATGGCACCCATAATTTCCCATCATTTGCTTGCCGAATGTTATCCGGGTATCCAGGAAGATTGTCGATAAGCACGTCAACGGTTTTGGAAGATGGGGAATACCTGAGAAAATAGGAGGAAATGAACTTGCGAATTTCGACGGATTCTCTTACTTGAGTATCCTAGACATGCCCATTTCTGCAACAAAAATCTTTCCACGTACAACTTCGACTCCATTTGGGAAGTAAAGCCTGTCTGATAGAATAGACAGATGATCATTCGCAGGATTGAATACAAGCAGCCTGAAAAATTTAAGAAATATCTCTTGCAAAAGAAAATATAAAAAAAAAACTTTGTGTGAGATTGGTCTAATTTGGTACTTTGAATGATTTATGAGAATGGTCTAACTTTGCAAGAAAAATTTTTCTTCTTCAAACTTCTCTTGGGAAATTATGGTTTCTAGGCAGTGACAATCGCTTCACCATGTCAAGGCTTAGGCTTAGTTTTTTTTTCATTGTCACAAAATCTTGTCTCAGGTTGGGAAGCTTAAAGTACATTTCGCTATCAAGACTATGACGTAATGATAATTTGTGAAAAATTAACTCGCCTTCCATTCGGCCGATGTTCTAGCAATTCATAGATAAAATCTCTATCATCAAACTTAGTGCTGGCCTCCGTAATCACAATCCGCCCATCTGGCAAAAAGTCGAAATCATTAAGGTACCTGAAAAATTCAAAAAAAATTGTTTTGATGATTCGTGGGAAAAATTGCCTAGTCGGTATGGCTGTGTCATCATCGGTAATCGATACTGCACCAGCGAAAAGTTGTCGAACTTTTTCTAAATTTTTGTTTTGATTTTTGATGGGTGACGAAAAAGTAGTGCGATACCTGTCTTCCAGTTGATCACATATAGTCCCAAGTAAGCATCCAATACATATAGCTCATTTGTTTTTGGATGTAGCCTGAAAATATGCCCTCTATATCTCAAGCAGGACCTTGGAATTTACTTTTTGAGATTTTCCGTTAAAATCTTCCAAAAACTTCTTTTTTAATAATATTCACCTCATTCCCAAAGGTCGACCGCACTTAACCATAGATTTGTATGATCCGTCACATCCTTCTAGTGAGGTGAGCCGAACAGCCCGAAGGATTTTTGGCTAAAAAATGTCTATCATGAAAAACGACAATTGTTGAGAGATTACGCTGTCATACCTGCTTTTCCTTATAATCAATCTCACAGATGAGACCAGTCCTCAGACCTGTGTACAGCTTGTCGCTTTTGCGATCAATGGCGATACACTCAGGCCCATAAACTTGATCATCTAGGATTAGCTCGGCCTTTGACAACCTGCCATTTGGGGCTAGTTCGCCTTCGAAAGCGGGGGGTGTGGGCAGTCTGGAAGGAGGAGATGACCTGATGTAGGGATTTGAAAGAAAATGGAGCTCACTGGTAGGCGACGGCATTTATGGGGCTAGAAACGAAGAGATGGGTGCAGGCGACTGCTATGGCCAAGGAGGCCACTACTGCCGAGACGACAAGGAGAGGTCTGCTTTTGACTTCGCCCTGAAATGAATATAATAGACTGTTACATTTTGCTACAGAAACAAAGCACCCAAATCTTGAACTTTTTGTTCAAAGCTACGGATCTGGTGATGCTTAAGATTTGATTCCAGAATCTCGTATGAAAATGCCGCTTTTTCCAGGGAGACACTCTGAGGTTTTCACCTCCGCTGTGCTGTCTTCACTCGACCATTGAGGAAACTTTTTCGCCATACATTTTACACCAAAACTGAGGAAAGTATCAGAGTCCATACACAACGATAACAATCAGTATGTTAAATCTGGTCGTATGAAAAGCGCACAGGTTTATAACAGATTTAAATCTTCTAGCTCTTTTAGCCTCTAATTTTGCAAGAAGCTAAAGTTCAAGTTTCCTTCTCTAATTGGGACATTCAGGACTGCAACATATTTTCTAGCTGTTGCAGCAATGTATGCCTCAAAAAACATAGCACATGTGTTTGTGTTTGTAGCTTACAGGGAAGGTTTTTGATTCGAAGGAGGCTTTCCTAATGAGATACATATCATTCGAAAGGTCTCTAAGTGGTATATTCAAACCAGTCTTCTCTATATGCTTATCGGTTCAAGTTAAAGGCATTTTTCTACTTTCAAATTGCATAGTCAGCAACCGTTTAAATGACTTAAATTCGTAGTAAATGCGAATTTGCTCTCTTTAGAGTTACATGCATGAATGCTTGAGATATAATTATTGCACATAAAAAAATAGCTGGAAATATTTGAGGCTACTCTGCTTCCTCAAATCTACAACAAGTAACAAAACTCAGTGCCTTTTGAGACCGAACAAATGTCTGTAACCTTGTACAACTTCAACTCTTTATCGACAAATAGATAAAGAAAAGCATGTTAGTAAACAGCACTTCAAGTCTGTCAATATAGTTTATACCTTGCTGGGTTAGGCCACTTTGAGTCAAACTTCCCTGTTCAGCTAGCAAAGGAATATTTAAAGGCAGCGTACACCCAAAAGTTCGCCTTCGATGTTTTTGTCATTCTGAGGCCTTTCCGCGCCTCTGATTACAGTTAAGACATTAAAATCCTCCGAATGTCCGAAAAAAGCTCCGATTCGGGGGACCTTCTCTTCAAAGGGAGGACGAGTTTCGAATTGCTCGACCCCGTCGGCATGCCAGCGAGGAGCAGCTGCAACTGCATGATAGCCTGTAGTTGCAACTACAACTGCAGCGTATGGTGTCGTGGATTCGTCGTCTGAAGGAAACGGATCGCAACAGCAACGGCACTGTTGCAACTACAGTTGCAGCTGCAACAGCATTGCAACAGCAACTGCAATGGCAACTGCAGCTTACGCTGATGTGGATTTCCTCCGAAGAAGGAGGCGGAGTGAAAGAAAAGGGGCGGAATAAAAGACAAATCATGCGGATTTTCTCCGCTCAGAAGCAACATTGAGAGACCGGACCAACTCAGTTGGTCTTCTTCTGGGCCCTAGATATACACGGTATAGAGAATTGGGTAAATCAGATTTTGGGTGTACGCTGCCTTCAACCTTCTCTGATGGGCCGGCACACTTCGTTGCAACTGCTGTTATAATAACAGCAACTACACCTTTCTGCTGTCGGGCCGCTACATCTTGTTGCAACACTGGTAGTTGCAATGCTATAGCTGCAACTACACCCTTCTGTTGTCGGGACTTTATATCCTGCTACAACGGCGGTAGCTGCAGCTGTCATAAGAGCAGGCATAATCCTGCTGATAGGTCTACACTGTGGCAACAGCGAATAGCTGCAACTGCTCTAATAGCAACTAAATCTGTTGTCCAATTTATCCTGTTGCAGCAGCGGTAGCTGCAACTGCTATAACAGCAATTACATCCATTTGTTGTCGGACCAATATATCTTGTTGCAAGAGCGAATAGCTGTAACCGCTTTAATAGCAACTATCTGTTGTCGAGCCAATACCTCTTGTTACAACAGCGGTAACTGCAACTGCTTCAAAAGCAACTGCATCTGTTGTTGGGCCAACATATCTTTTTGCAAGAGCGAATAGCTGTAACCGCTTTAATAGCAACTACATGTGTTGTCGAGCCAATACCACTTGTTGCAACAGCGGTGGCTAACTGCTTGCAGCGTACACCCAAAACCTAAGTTACCCAATTCTTTATACCGTGTATATCTAAGGTTCAGAAAAAGAACAACTTGGTCCGGTCTCCCAATGTTGCTTTTGAGCGGAGAAACCCCCCCCCCCTGATTTTTCTTTCATTCCGCCCCATTTCTTTCACTCCGCCTCCTTTGTACGAAATCCACGTCAGCGTAAGCTGCAATTGCAGTCGCTTGCAGTTGCAACAGCAGTTGCAACTGCATTGCAACAGTGTAGTTGCTTTTTACAGTCCGCCTCCTTCAGACGGCGAATCCACGACAGCATACAAAGCAGCTGTAGTTGCAACTGCAGGCTGTCATGCTGTTGCAGCTGCTGGTGTGCCGACAAGGACGAGCAGTTCGTAACTCGTCCGCCCTTTGAAGAGAGGGTCCCCGGTAATCGGGGTTTTTTGGGGCTTTTGGAGGATTTTTATGTCATATTTGTAATCAGGGGCACGGAAAGGCAACAGAATGACAAAAACATTGAAGGCGAAGTTTTGAGTGTACGCTGCCTTTGATAGCAACTACGTCTAATGTCGGGCCAATATTTCTTGTTGCAACAGGCGGTAGCTGCAACTGCTGAAACTGCAACTACAACCGCTGTCGAGCCAATACCTCTTGTTGCAATAGCGATAACTGCAACTGCTAAAACTGCAACCACATCTGTTGGCGGGCCATTACATCTCGTTGCGACAGCGGTGGCTACAACTGCTTTAATAGCAACTACATCTGTTGTTGGGCCAATATATCTTTTTGCAAGAGCGAATAGCTGTAATCGCTCTAACACATTCACGACAATACGACCCACCGGTGGGTCGTACGTGTTCTGCCATTTCGGACAATACGACCCACCGGTGGGTCGTATGCTTTCTGAAGTTTTTGATTTTGCTAGTTCACGGTGAAACTTTTTAGACGAGCCGAGTAAACTCCTGCATACACCTCTTAGAGTAACTCCCAAAAGATTAGCACTACAGACCACAGGGTCCATCAGTGACCTAAAAATATTCCGCAAACTCAATTTTGCGAAATATGCTCTGGTCCGAAATGGCAGTCAGCGAAAAATCGGCCCTGTCGTGGATGTGTTAATAGCAACTACGTCTATTATCGGGCCAATATTTCTTGTTGCAACAGGCGGTAGCTGCAACTGCTACATCCATCTGCTGTCGGGCCAATACATCTTGTTGGCGGTAGCTGCAACTGCTTTAATAGCAACTACATTCTTCCGTTTGAGTATACACGTCCTGTTGCAACAACGAGTCGCTGCAGCTGCAACAAAATCACGTACATCCTTCTGTTGTTGGGCAACTCTTTGTTGTTGTAACAGCGAGATGATGCGAAATGGCAGAAAACGTGGGGGTGATCAGCATGCTCGATTACACCCCTCTGCCAAATTCCAGCCCCCTAGCTCAAATTTTGCAAAAAATCGATAAAATCGACATCGATCGATAACGAAAAGTGGATTGTGACACCCGCCGGGGCCCGAAGTGTATGTGTGCCAAGTTGGTCTGGATCGGTTAGGAAGGGAATTTTCTATTCGGAACATACGGCGGAGCCGGGTAAGCGAGCTAGTCTATCATATAAGCAACCATATCAAGGAGATGCGTCGCCTTATTGCTTTTTTGAAAAAGGTGAGGAGAGAATATATTAGGTTGTTGCATAAGTTCTGTCCGATTTTTTTTGCCTCATGTTTGAAGCAGCTGTTCTAAGAGAATTTCATCTCTAATGCGGTATTATCAGTATCATTAGAAAGTGCATTTCTTGCGCTTTCTAAAGCATATCAAATTTCAATAAATTTCTTAGTGTAAGGAGATTTCAGGCATGAAATCTCCAAGTGGCCGAGGTACGTTCTCACCCTAGAAATATGTTCTTGCGAGAAAATCTCCACAATGCGCCCTTCAGGTCAAGTTTTTTAATTGGTTGCGGAATAAGGGTGTAATAGGCTAGCATACGCATATTTTCAGTTTCATGAAGAAAACGTCTTGCTAGTAAAATTTATTGTCAAACATTGATTTTCTGTATAGATGTTTTACATGCTATAACTTTCTGCGAATAGAAGTAATCGACGAATTCAAAGTTGGAGGTGCTAGGGTAAAGAAAGAGCTAGCAGAATCCATCCACCAATTCCTTTTCGGCGCTCACGTCGACTGTAAAATTTTCATAACTCGTAAATGGGCACGCACACATGCGCTGAAGCGAGGTCAAAAAGTGGCTAATTTTTTGTTCGGTCAAAAAAATCTCTCGGCAACGCAGACGCTATGGGCAATTTCATGTTGCAAAATAATCTACGAAAATTTCTCTATCTGTCCATTGTTAGATAAGATGCCTACCAATTCTCATAAGGGAGCATTGCCATGTCAAAAAAGACAAGTTTGAAGGAAAACGTAGTGAAGTTTTTTTTAAAGTTTTTGCTTCTTCCTTAACGGTTAGCAGGTTCTAATATGTATGTGATAGCCGAGGAATTGCTCAACACACCGAAACTAAGATCTTGGAAAAAAGTTGACTTTGAAAGAAGTTATGACATTTTGAACTCAAAAATTCAAATCGGACAGAACTTATGCAACAACCTAATATGATTGGCATCCCGGAGAACGAACTTGGAAAAAGTGTCGCACTATACACATAAATGTTTATTAAGGCGAGGGAATACACAAACTTTCAATCTACGCAAATAAATAATTACCAAAAATAGAAAAAAATGCGCTGATTATTTATTTTTCCCAAGGAATTCTCCTTCACTTTCGACAAAGGAGATCAAACATATGTGAACGACTGAGGACAAACCTGCTTGGGCAAAACTTTTGCTGGTCCTCGCACTCTCTCACTTCCTTTAGCTCCTTTGGCCATTACCCAAGCAACGTTGGCCCAATGATCTACAAAGATTCCGACTGGTTGAAGGAAAAAACTAATACAGGAACAGCGGACAAATGAAGATGGTGAGAGTGGTATCGGGAAACAGGTCGATAGCGATGCTGACTAGGACGAAGACAGCCGTTACCGGTGTTTACCTACATCTGCACAGGTCACAGGCTATGTTTGTACAATTCTCACTTTTCTGTGCCTGAGCTTTTGCTTCAGCTCAAATGCCCCAACGGCAGAAAGGACATCTGAGACAACCTATCCTCTTCTTGTTTCTTCCGTCTCCTCTTGTACATGCTTTCTATCGGAAAAATTGCTGACAATATGAAAATTTTTATTCCAAAATTCACACATGGTCTTCAAAGAATCGTGCGATCTTCTATCAAAACTCTAGACCCCTAAGTTTTATGCACCTCTTACTCCGGAACCTTTTTGAGTAAGTATTTGCAGTGTCTCTTTATATTATCGAAGTCCGCTTATCGGCTTAATTTTTTCAAGGATTAGAAGAATTGAATCTCACAGCAATCGCGGGCTAGAAGGCAAGGAGGGCATCAACGCAGAGTTGAAGCACTTTTTTTTTGAGACAAGCCTGTTGAACACCGAAAATTGTACACGTTCTGTACGCAATCACATTGTTTCCATTGCGGTACCTAAGCAGCCATTCCATTATCTTGAAGTCTAGAAGCGCCAAGGCTGAAGTGGCCTTGGGGTTTGAAAACTTTGTAAATATTAATTTAATGCCAATGAATAAATACCGCATTACTAGCAACCAAAATAAAAAACAAAGATGTAGGGTTTCTCTGTCATTACGAGTGCAAATTTGTGTGACTGTTGAGGTTGTATCACAAGCTCTTTATTTTATTTGCATACGTCTTTTCGATGAGTGTACTTGCTCAAACGAACCCGTTACTTATAATTACAGTTCAAATATTGAAAAGCACCGTTTTCTGAACACGTAACTGCTAAATGCAACGAATTCGCACCGTCATACTTGTTCTTAATTGCAAGACATAAAATAGTTCTAATGACAGTTGAGTTTGTCCGAAAAGACATCAGAAATCACCACATACATTCAGTATATTCTTAGAAACTACCGTCATGAAGTCAGAAGATCACGAGTAAATGCTTGAATGTAAATACAAACTAAATATGTATATATATATGAGTGTTAGCTGACTTTCAAAATGCAAGAATTTATCAGAAAGTGATTCAAAATGTAGGGCTGTCGGAAGAGTTGGCCAAAATAAACAAAAATGATTAGGTGATGTGAAGTCAGTGTGAGCGCAACTGAACGACACTGGCGTGCTGATAGTGGGCAATAAGTGGGAACGAAAACGGCGATCAGCTCGTATGGACCAAATATGCAAATTCTTTTGCAGTTCTGCTATACGTAGTTCCTTTCCAGTTGCCATTCAGTAGCAGACAAAATTTGAAAAACGCCTATTTCATTTGTCAAAACAAAAAGATTGGCGTGCGTCTGACTGCAGAATCCACTAACTTTATACGTTTTCACACCACTAAACAAACAGGAGAAAAGAAGTACTATATGCTATGTGAACGCATTTCAGTTTGCACAACAGTGGGCTCGGGTAAGAAATAAAGCTCGCTCAATTTATTCGAAAGTGTTCGAGCCTCTGAAGTTAACAATGACGGCAATTTATCATTCAACAAAATAACGAATAAATAAATGTATGCAATGAATCATTAGGAATTCGTTGAAAGGCTTGGGCGAAGGCTCTGGAAATCAGCACCTGAATGGAACCAAACTTGAAAAAATTGTTAGATCAACATTAAGAAATTAATCATTTATCTGCATTTTAATTTTGAATTCGATTTCTTGAAACCATCTTCACAACTACTACTCACAATTTCTTTAGGCTGAAGATATGAAAATTCTTTCACTTTGCTTTTTCTTAGAATGCACATGTAAAACAATACAATAAATTTGCAAGATGCTAGTATTTGTTATTGTGAACTTTGATGCAAAACATAACATTATTTGTTTTTATAGATTTCCCAGTACGATATAAGTCTCATCCGAAAGTGTTGGAAGGTGGGATTATGTTACTTTGTACATACACTGGTGAGTTTGTGAATGAGATGAGAAATTTCTTCTAAGCTTTTCCAAGCATTTGCAAACATTCATTTTCTTGCAGATCTCGCGAGCGTTTACTAAGCGACAGCAATCTGCAAATATAATACGAACCTTCACATAGAATTTTACCAATCGGTGAATAAAGGCAACGTCATCTGATACTTAGACCATATATGAAATACTTTAGGCAACGTAAGATTTTAAATGGTTGAATATGCAAATTCGTTAATTTGAAAAATTGTAATTTGCCACAGTCATGTTTAGATCAAAAATCTACAACTTCGCTTGTTATACATAGCAGAGCCATACGCAAAGTAAAAAGCACTTAGAATTAACTGAAACTCACATAAAAGAAGATTACCAAACTGCACATTAGGATCCATGCATAAGAGAAAATAAATTCTAGGGAACAAAGGCAAGCGGTGAATGCGTCAGCAAATGCGGATCGATGAAATATTTCGTTGGCTTTTCTAAAAATGGAGAACCACTGCAAGCTAATTCGGTGTCTTACAGCAAATTATTGTCTTCAAGACCTGTGTTATAGTATAGAGAAGAGGACTCTTAGTCATACATTTATAGAGCTACAAGCTCATCTATGCTTGAAGATTCCCCTTGATGTCTGTCTGCCTTCTACAGCAAAATTTTTGTTAGATATTTTCAGCGCAAAATATTAGAATCTGTCTTTTCCTTACGCGGGGACTATTTTGCTAGCCTATTCCATTAACATGATATTGTATTATATTAGGTTGAACACTAAGTTTTGCAACTTGTTTCATAACTTCACTCTCATTCAACATGGCGCACTCAAATTTTGCCACTGCGTTGGTTACTACATAAACTATAGGCGCAGCTGCTGTCCTACCAAATTCTGGCGTCGCAGTGAGGGTTACGGTAGGTGCATGGTATAAAAGGGAAAAATTCAAAGTTTGACGGATTTGGCGGAAACTAGGCATAGGGGTGTTATCCGACATGCTGATCACGAAAACGATAGTGAAATTGCGTGATAAGGGCTTTTTTGTAGGATTACTGTAGGTGTACGATATGGGGTTTCACCCTAAACGAGGAAAAAGACGTTGATTCAACAAATGAAGGTGATATTCGCGTTTGCCAGGTCAAATCACCTTACTATGTAAAGTCTCGGCGGAATTTGAGCTTTGGACTCTTTAGTCATTGACGGTCGTCCCCAGCAGCTCTTGCGTACATCGACTCGTTCGACTTTATGAGGACGCCAAATCTCGACATGCCCATAAATTTTGTTTCTTTCTTGCTAGGCCAAAGGAGTCAACCTCTTGCAATAATTTGTAGACGAATCCGGATTACTGCGCATGGTCTAGGCTGCAAAAGGATTCATTTTAGCTTGAAACCTCAAAAATTCTCAAATTTTACTAGTTTTCGAAAAATGCCTGAAACTTTTCTATTTCGTGTTCAAAATTCAGACAATTTGTGCTCTCTTGTAGCTCACATTGCATTCTACATGTTGCCAAAGTTTGAGTGCGCCATGTTGAATGAGAGTGAAGTTATGAAACAAGTTGCAAAACTTAGTGTTCAACCTAATAATACCCATACAAGCGATGTTTTTACGACCTGAGATGGCCAAATGCTATCTCAGTATGAATGTCTTATTCATTTCGCACAAAATCAGTATCTGAATTCCTAAAATAAGGCGAACACATGCTGGATGTGTCCAGAACTATTACTGAACTGTGTTAAGGGCCAAACTTTTGACATCTATCAGTTCTCATCAAAGCACTCAAATCATCGAGGCTACTTTGCAACCTAGCCCTGATAATCGTCATTTGTTTTGTTCTGCGAAATTCTGTTCCCTGAAGTGGAAACTATCTCTCGCATAATCACGAATGTTATCATAAAGGTAGGGGAACGAACTTCGCCAGTTTGAATCGCCTGCGCGGACTACTGTTCCTGCAATGACATGCAACAATGTTGCAAAAGGGCCAGTTGCCAGCGAAAGCGGGCTCAACTGGCGGACTTCGTTACCCTACTCTTATCATCATATTATATTTGTCATGAATAAAGATCATGTCAAGTGTTGAAGAACGTTCTAGAGATTCTGGATGATGCTCTTTTTTTATAGACAACAAGATGACGTTTCTTCCTCTATGAAATTTTTTGCTTCAACACAGTATGAATCGGAATGCTTTAATTTTGAATTACGTACTTAATAGGCATGTGAATAAAAATATTGCATTATTTCGAGCATTTGATAATTTTACGTGCAGTTACTTGGCTGACATTTTATTAAAGTAGACAAACCAAAGTAATTGTGTAACACAAGATCTCTGCTCCTGTTATCTAAAATTTCATAAAAATTCGTGACACTCTAGCGACTAAGGATGCTTTGGTAGAATGCCGCTTCGAAAAACAACAACTTCCTTCCAAAACTCTTTTCCTGCTAATCTCTCGAACAATCATTTGACATACTATGTGTTGCTGAATTTTGACAGCAGAGCTTATGACGTATGAACGCAGACATAACGAGAAAAAGGAATTGTACTGACAACAATAATGAAACCCATAATTCTATGGAGGTGGCATAGGATGAAAAGTTTTTGATGAACGTCATCAATTCATGCTCTGTACATGAATGCCAAAAGAAAGCGGAAGTGAAATGAGACATCTCCAGCTTGAAAATGGGTCAAAAAGTGTTTCAGAGTAACTTGATAGACCCAAGAATTCTTCTTCAACACCTTTGCATTTGCCAATGCACTTTAGATGCGGTTCTTCAAAAACTTGATACGATCAGGTGATAAAAAAAAATAAAGTGAGCATTGACACGCTGAAGATTTGTCTCATAAAGTTCAGTGGATAGATGATGTAGAATTTGAAAGACCCAATTTTGTGTGAATTTAATAACTCCACCACAGAAAATTTTTTTTAGAGAATCAAAGCAATTTTTTCGTGGTCTTTTGAAAAAAACAACTACAAGAAAGACGAAAGCATTTCATCAAAATTTCATCCACTGTAGTGACTGCAGTCTCGCTTTCGTTATATTATAATCATCCATATTCTTACCCAGGCCGGGCTTCCATCACTGAGGTTCTTTTTTTTTCTTTTTAGTGCTCCACCCTTCCCCTCTCCATCGGTAGTAGAAGATTCAAGTTGCACGGTTTTTGAACGAACTTATAGAATAGAAAATTCAAGGAGAAATTCGAGAATAAGCTCTGTCACGAATTTGGTCCTGGACGAGTTTTTAATAAACAAGATATTAAACACCTTTTCCTGATACTTTTCGAAAACTAAAAATCTCAAGGGTTTGTGAAGAGGTACGAGTTAAATTTTCTTGAGAAGTTCATTTCGAGTAGAATGTTTTTTGGGCTCGGATGTCCTTTTTGAAATTCTCTTCTACCCCGGCACTGATTACGACTCTCTGCATGTTTGTTTTTATGAAATTCCTGACTTTGGAGACAGAGGCTAGAAAAGTTTTTTTTTTGTTTTTGCTTCATTGATTGAATTCTCTCAATCAGAAATGACGTACTGATCTCAAGGAAAGGCCAAAAAAAAAGGAAGAAAGGTGACAGAGCTGATCGACAAGTGGCATAATGTGACAGTTGTCTCAGAAAGGAAGTGATGGTGCGATGATACCGGGTCCAGGCCAGCTTGGCCTGAGTTTTTTAAGGACTGTGCCTTTTTTCCCATTCAGATAGTGGTGTCAGCTCCTTTTCTGGGCTTGCAAGCCAAGAATCGCACCGCGATCGCATCGCTCCCATCGCGCGACCTTCCGGGCGATCGCGACACCCCGGGCGCGACGAACGAAGCGAACGAAGCGAACGAATGCGAACGCGATGACATGAACTATCAGCTGCGTTCCGTTCGATCGATTATTACAGTCGCTCACATTCCGTGAAGGGGGGGGGGGAGAGTGCAACGCGGGGCTGATGAACGGGGTGGGGGCAGCTAGTGAGCGATGTGCCCCCGATGTCCAGTCGATACAGTCGTGGTGCTCCCGTCCTTTGCCACAGTCAGATAGCCGAGTGCTAGGGCCTTGATCTGTTTTGCGTGGACTTTCGGGGCTGCGTTGAATGCTGGGTGAAGGGTGCTTTACCCCTCTGGGTAAGGCGCCGCCACCTGCGGTAACGCCTAGGGTAAACTTGGAGCAATGCGCCCGTCGGCGTCCATTCTTTTTGCTTCGCGTTCTTGCCACGCTTACTCTCTTTTCATTTCCTTTCTCTTCCAAATTTTTCTCTCTCCCCCCCCTTCTTCTGCTCAATTAGTCAATGTTCGAATAACCTTTTTATCTATCCTATCTCGCCTCTCGCTGTCCGTTCTCAAGCGAGGTACGGATATGATTGCTGATATCAGTTCAACGCAATGCAAACATCGACAACAATTTGCTGATTTCTCCTGCTGGCGTCATGCCACCGTCAGAAGTCGCTTGCATCTTCTTCTCCTGCAGATGTGTTCGTTGTTCGAAGTGATTTCTTGATTTCTTCTTGGAAAATTTCTCGGACATAGACCTTTGAGAGATCAGATGTCAGTCATTTCAGTTATCTGCTTTGTCTCATGGTCAGATGGCCTGTGTGGCCTCTTTCCATGGTATGATTCTTTCCTCTCTTGCATCATTTCTTGTGATTTATTCACTGATTCATCCTCATATCCTTTTCCTTCCTGCCTGCACGGTTCTGATTTTAGTTTTCTTTCTCTATGTTTCACTTCTGTCCGTGTGCCCTTTTTTACTCATCTATTCTACCTCTTTTGATGATTCTGCTGAATTTCCTCTGCTTAACGACCCTGACGGACTACTTTTGTGCAAACTGTTGCAGAATATGAACTTTTAGAACTTGTGCACTTTAGTTTGTTCAGTTTATTGATCATCGTTCTCGACAGCTGTTGCTCGGAATTGCTCAGTGTTTTCATTTCTGGCATTTTTTTTCATGTTCCTTACACAGTCAGCGGAGAGTTTGAAATGTCATATTCGTATCTGGAGGATAGTTTTTCTAAATGTGTTTCCAAGAGGATAGTTTTGAAAACTACCTTTCGAGTTATGAAAGTTTTTCGTCATTTTGCAGATACGTTACTTTCTAGTTTATAATCTCATCTCAGTTGGTTCATTTCAAGATTTTTTCGTAATTTTATCCTGCAATTTTATCATTTTCCATCGTTTACCTTAGACTTCATTCGAACCCTTTTCTTTCAACTTCTTTTTAACTTAATGCAGTTGTAATGAATATGAATGAATGCGGATTCAGACGTGATGATGCAAATGAAAATATCCTTTTTTCGCATCTGTACAATTTTTGTAAACGAAATTCGAGCACTGTACTTTTTGCGCCAATGAAGTGTGCAGAAAAAAAAACGATGATTTATTAGGTTTGGGTCGAAGAAATTTCCGGAAGCTGATGAGTGATTTCTGTAACTTGCCAGCAAAAAAGCCAGTTTTGTGTTTTTGTACCCGAACTTGATTTTCGGTTGAATCATCCTGAACTGGTGACGGTTTTTCTTAACAATCTTCTCACTCATTGCAGCCATTGACAGCCGCAGCAAGTCATTGCTCACTGGAATCTACTGATCGTTCGTGCATCGTCCCGACTGTCCTAGGTCACGCGGCAATCATTTGCCTAAGAAGATAATTGTTCACTTTTTCTTTAAGAAAGCGAAGACTTCTAGCATCTCATTTTTGTATTCTTCCCTTCAAGTTAAGATAAGATATTGACATCGTTGTTGACTGCTGCGTCTTCCTCGGTATTTTTAGTCTCGAATTTCTCCGATTAAATTTCTGGAGTAGTAGGAGAAATTATCGTTGACCCATTTTCAGTTTTCGCCAATTCATTGGCATTCTTCTGGATTCGCCACACAGTATTTGTATACAACTTTTGCAATTCTGTGCAACTCTGTTTTATAAGCATTTGAAACTCCAACTTCACAGGGGCTTCTTCATGACTTCTTCTACTAACAATTTTGTGATTTTTCGATGTCGTAAACTCTATCAAGACAATAAGCTTCATCGTCTGAAGTCGAACTTTTGACCATTATCCTTCTTTGGACCTTGGAAAAACGAATTCATATTACACTTTCTTTCATAGCCTAGAGAGCCAGAACAAAACTTTTTACGACTTTGATGTTTTATGTGACTGACTAGATAATTTATAACATGAGTCCAATGTTGAAAGAATAGATCATGTTGATTTTCTGCCTTTCTTGGCTTACAACATATGAACATTGGAAAGGAAGCAGTTTAGTTGAAGTATGTAATGAGGGAAAATGTGAATTGTAATGCTAGTTTGCAAGAGATTTTTTCTATTATGAAAAAACTTTGGTAAGTATATTTTGGTAATTCTCTTTACTTCATAATTTTCCCAAAATCACGAGGTTTGCCTTCTCACTATTTTCTTTCGAGGCCCTCTTTGCAGCTGATACCCGATTATTATTTTTTGTTGTTTCATTTTTTTTTCTACTCGTCACCTTGCGAGTCCTGATATAAGTATCGAGTGCGGTTATTCGTAATCGCTTGCTTCATCTGGACGAGTTTATCTCTTCTCACTGAGGTCAGGTCATATAATCGTTTATCCACAAGCTTACGGTAGCCGTTCGTGTGTTTCTGATCTCCTACCATTTTCTACTTTATTTCGTCGCAATGCAATCTGCTCGGGCATTACGCTCCTCGTGGAAGTGACCTCTCGTTGTTTTCTGACTCTTATTTTAGCATATACTTTTAGGTGTATCTGCGACAAGTGCGTAGAGAGCCGTCTTTTCCCCCGCATCCTCATCGGGTCACCAGCCCTCAGGCGGTCCATCCGAGATTCGCGCGCTACGCCTCAGGTTGCTTAGTTGAGATGCTTGGCCACGGTCTCATCATGCAGAACATGGCCATTTCTCTCTATTCGTCTCTGTAGTTTTGTCAGTGAAGCGAAGCGAACACATAGGGAGGACACCCGACACCCGAACGTCGCCCACTCACCCACACATCTCCTGATCGGGCACGAGTGCAATGCTGCCAAACGAGCAGTTCCAGAAGTTGCTCTATGACCTTTTCTGTTTATGGCATGGAGTTCAACGCCATTATGATCCGCCTTTTACGGATACGGAAGAGCAAAGGCTCGCGAAGGTAACACTGGGGGTAAAGGAATGATGTGCTAGCGGTATTTTTTTATAGGTGAAGTCGATGATTTGTAAATTACTAACCGAAATCGATGGTCGCGTTACCCGCATACAACAAAATCAAACTGGCGGAATCAAAGGACAGGTAGTGGAATTTGTTCAAGGAGAATTTTTTTTAGAAAGAATGGCTGTTACACCAATTTTTTGTCGGTTAATCCTTGACAATACCTGATAAGAGCATTAGCGGTATCTGACGTATACAACCACAAATTATGATTTCTGACATCAGACATCTCTATCGGGGCGTTCTACCATGGGATTTTGTGCTTTGTTCATTTATTTTTTCTCACCGAACAAAAACATGATGATAAAAGTCTCTGAGACCGTTTTTTTCTTTCGTCTGAGAAATTTCCCGATCAGAAAGAACGTCTGTCTTCAAGAAATTTCTGGCCAGGAAGGTCGTCTGTTTATAAAAAACTAAGGGATTGATGATGTAACTGCTTTTTCGACAATTTCAGAAGAAAACTGCCTGAAATCAGTCTGCTCCACTTTGATTAGATTTTTTATGCAATTTTTTGGTTTTTCCTGAAATCCCAGACTACATGGGAACTCGCGCATGCTAAATTCAAGTTTTTTCTAAATTCTCAAATCTGTTATGAAAAGCTCACAGCAGATTTTGATAAGTTTTTCTTCTTTTTCTGGTCAGATTATATTATTTATGCAATGATTTTGTTGCGTTTTCTACCTCATATGGAGTTCAGCCTATTACCTTGAGTATAAAATCCACTTTTCAATTTTTTTATTCATAAAGAATCATTTTGTCATTTTCGATATGAGTAGTCATTTCTGTACAGGAAGAAAATCTTCTCAATTTTTTCCGGCATACAACAATTTGATGTGTGATTCTTAACTCGACATCTGTAAAAGAAAATTATAATAATTTTGAGAAGTTTAATTTCTACTCCAGCAACATATTTAACAATTTATTTTTCCAGGATTTCTACGAAGAATGGACAATGTTGACGTGGAATGTGTTGTGTATCACCAGTCGACTACAGAACAATCTCAGTGCACAGAATGTCGTCTCCAACGATGACAAAGTGATCTACCAACGCTTAAATCAGGCTTTGGTTGAGCTCGTCAATTATTCAAAGTAAGAACTGTTCAGTTTCACCTAGCTTTCCTGTGATTTTGAGATTTCCAGTGTGAATATGCCATTTATGGGCTACTACCAAGACACAGATTTTGAAGTTTTGCGTCAGAATACTGAACGAACTCTGCAAGAGTTGTACCTTTTGACGAGGTAATCGGTCATTTTGCTCGTGAAAAAGACAGCAGTTGAAATTCATTGTTTTCAGGCAATTGGCAATGACCACCTTCATCAATCATACGGAATTTGATGCATTTCATCACTCCTGTCTACAATTCGGCGAGCAATTCCTTGTTCCATGCATCGATCATTTAAAGGTAAGATCATAAAGCTATTTTGCGGAATTTTTCAGATTTTTTCTCATCCATCAAGTTTATATCACGATGCAGTCTTGTTTGACCCATGCACTGTTCCTGCATAAGTGGGTGTGGCCAATCACTACAGTATCCTGGCGCTTAGAGATCTTGTGCTCGTAAAAGTTTAAGTTTAGAAGCATAGCTTATAAAAAAGTTTCAAGCGCAATAGTGGATTCAAATGAGTTCCATATTTGCCTATTTAGCCTATCGGCAGCGAAAAAGCATCATCATAGGGGCGATATATAGTCTAATCCCAACCGAAGGCTGATGCCCATAGAAGGAAGCGTATGCGAGGCGGAGCGCGAAAACACTATTGGTGTTGAGTTTTCTTATCTCATACGTTTCAACAATGATACATGCTATTATATAATGCTGAGTTCGTGCCCGTTCTGCAAAAATAGATCCAGTCTTGTCAAGGTTGAACTTCTGCGCTACAGTTTCAACCGCCAAATGTCAGTTTCTCGTATTCAATTTTTTTGCCTTTTTTCATCAACCCTAGGATATCTGTAAATGGCCCAGAAATTAACGAGCGATATAGCGATGCAGGGAATATAGCGTCTGGTAAAGCGGCGCTTTTCTCTTTTTGGAGTTTCGCACATTTTGTCCAGTGCACGTCTGAGAGGCATAGAGAGCGCGTCGCCGGAGTGTACGCAATTGCAGCCCCTGCGTCGCCCACCTACATCTCATCTGCACAGAATTTTGATTTCGCTTGATGCAACAGCGCTCTTATTTCTTGGAATGCAGCTTACAGATTTTCGCGCAGTCTTCTTCTGTACTGTATAAGAAGGATCGAACAAAAGACAACCACGTTGCTTTTAAATAAATTTTGATCAAATCCCGCAGCAAGAATGATCCTCCCTCTTGTGCCTTAGATTTTGAATTTCTCGTATTTTCCAGGCATTCTGTAACACGTACAGCGTTGCGAGATGGCGCGACGTCAGAGCAGCCCAAATTGCTCGTATGAGAGATCAGAGCACTCAACTGGACGATGCTGTAACCAGTCTTGTCGCCTTCTACTCGATTATGATGTATATCCTCGCTGTGCTAGCTGCTCGACTGCAGGTAAGTAACTTCTTGGGAAGGGTTCTAAAGGGCCATCTCAATGGGTAGCTTTTTAGGGCCTACGTTATGAAATTACCGTTGTGAGAAAGATCTATGCGCTCGATGATGACGTAAAGAATCTGTCGCAGACCGTGTTTGGAGCTTTGGAGCTACTAATGAGCGATTGCGTTCTGGCTACAGAGCCGTCCACGACTGCTATTCTTGTCACCAATAACCTATTTAGGTAATTTTGCGTTCTTAGGCTTTTCCTGAAAAAAAAGCAAAATAGCGATTTAGTATGAACTGCGGAGCATTGGCAAGAGGTGTTGCTTTCAAAGATTTCGAGATTCAAGTGATTTCGGAGGAGACTGCTGAGCATATACAGGTAAGTGCAATTCCGGTTAACCTTGTTATGGTCAAAAATACGGACGCGGGGAGAGGGGAGGGGGCTAAAATAAAGCAGAAATATCAAAAAGCAGTATTCCAGTCCGAAATGAATCGTGCTCGTCTTCTACAACAACCAAATCAAATCTCACAACCACCATCAGCAGCGCTACTGGCTATGAAACCCACATCCGGCACGAAAAGGAGCAATGCTGCTAGTAATGGAGGTAACTAACAATGCTGGAGAATTTCATCTTTACAAAATCTTCCGTCATAGCGGATTTAAGGGCAGTAAGAAGGGGTTTAGAAAGTTTTCAGTAGCGACTCACGTCTCTCCAATCGAAAAAAAAGTTTTGTTCGAAAAGAGGGCAAGGAGGATTTTAGACTACATGAATATCACTTGCATTTTTTGGAATTTTGCGGTAATCTTTTTTGTGTAGGAATATCGTTCAAAGTGGGGAAGTGGCTGATGCAGTCACAAAGTTTGATTTTTACGGGTGCGTAGAGTTCAGCAGCTTTACAGCAAAAATAGCGTACATGCTTACTTGACGTTGAAAATAAGCAAATTATCACTTTTTCATCCGACGATCCATTCATATATTTCTGTGAGGAGTTTCGAAAGCTTTTACACGAATATTGAGACAAAAAAATTCATTTATTGCCCTATGGAAATCAGTTGATGGGAAAAGTTTTTGACTGCTATATCCGCTATTTTCTGGCAATTTCTATTTCCTTGATGAAAATTTTTGTTAAGAACGCGTATTTGTGGATTCGACCGGCAACACAGCACACAAGAAGAGCGATGTGAACAGCAAAGAACACGTTATCATATATCCAGTGTACAATGCTAAGTACAGGTACGCCAACTTTCTAAAAATTTTGCCCTGCAAAAATGGCCCCTGTATATAACTAAATTTTGCTTTACGAGCAGCTGTATATCTCTAGATATTGGCAAGCTACCTATCCTCATCTGCTGTGCACTACTCGACAAAAGGGACGACAATCAACACACAATTCCTTCCAGGTAAGTTGCATAATTGCTTTTTCGGACGAAAATCATCTTCATTCCCAGGACCTTTCGCCTTCGAATGCTACAAGCGACAAATCCAATGGAAAAAGACCAATTTTCTACTTTCATATCAAAGCTACCATGTTTAGGTGGGCATTTTTGGATCTTTTAGTTAACTTGCCACCATTTAACCGAAATTTCTTGCCAAATGAAAAATTCAACTTTTTATCTAACTATTCTGGAAAAATTAGCGCTGAATTGGTTTGATGTGGTGATTTGTGAGACCGCTAAACCTCATGTCACTATTAAGGAACCAAATGTATTTTGTACTTTGTGCCGAGCATCTTATCATCTTTCGCAATCCTTTCTTTCACATGGTCTGGTTTTTTTCCAGTAAATGAAACATCCCCAGAAAACACATTTGCTTCAGCACTACTACGATAGAGTATTGTAGTAGTGCTGAAGCAAATAACTATAATAAAACGGACTATAATAAAATGGAAAAGTAGTGGCAACTGCTTTTTTAGAAAATCAAAAAAAATTATGATGGGGTTCAGCAGTGTCTTGGTATCTATACTTGTGGTATACTGTTTAAGAGCATCACTGAGCCGTTGCTCAAGCAGTAGATCATATAATTACTTATCAATAATTACTGTTCAAAGTTACCCAGTACCGTATTTGATGAGGAGGTGTACGGTAGTGGGTGAGACTTTCGCGCTATTTTTCTTAGCCATGATTTACTCATCGAAGTTGAGGTTTGAGCAGTCGCTTTGCTAAGGCACTACAAATGTTTTTAAACTATGTAAAACTAAAATTTCTGCATTTTAGCCCTTCTGGAAGTTTTGCGACGGCTCATAATTTGTCACTTCCGTTCACCATAGCAACTCGCAGGAATCAGGTTGGTCCCGAGCGGCTTTTCCAGCTTTAGTTAACAAGATAATTCCTTTGGAGGACTGTCAAGTGCAAAGAATGATGTCGTCGTATACTGCTACCATATTTTGGCTGTATGGATGTAACCATCAAGAAGGACTTCTACTTCAGTGGGTTGACACAGGTAATTCATACTCTCTCCCTTTCTCCAAACCAGCATGTCAATATTTTTTTACTGTTGTAGGCATGCATTGGGAACAATTTAAACATCTATACAAACAGCATTTCAAAGTGAATGCAGGAGTGCAAAGGGGCCTGATCGATGGCGATTTTGAGCTGCTGAAATACAAGCTACAATGCCCCGATTGTCAATCGGGTGAGGGAGCGAATATCAATGGCATTCAGCGTAGGTTTTCATTATTCTATGTTAGTATAGTTCAAAAAAAAGTCCGACTTTCAGAGATTGTGACTTTCAAAAATGTTTTGTGCCCTCATCTGCGCTATGAATGTGGTAGCACGAATGTACGATTTTCGGTAGGTTTGAATAATTTGAAAATTTCTCAAAAAAACTTGATTCAAAAATTTCCAGGTTTGGCGTGGAATGCTCGAGTTGTTGCAAATCTTCCATGATACACGGAATAATGTGCGAAAACTATGGGAAATGGGATTGCTTTTGGGATTTCTTGAGTTCGATGAGGTAAATTTTTATTGTTAATCTACCAAAGTCATATTTAGCCAAATTTTTGCTGAATTTTACAGTACCAAGTTCTGCGCGCAAAGTTGCAGCACGCTTTCGACAAAAACAATGAAAAACAATAAATAGCGAAATTATACGGTTTAAGCCCTTTTGCACAAACATACTGTATGCTACCGTAAATTTGCGGGTCGAAGATAAGTATGGTAATAAAATGTTACAGGATCTATACTAGAATGTACTTGTGTAAAATGTCATTTTTACTTGTAAGTGCAGGGAGCACACATATTTAGAGAAATGGTAAAAAAGACGTGGGCCTTTTGCACCATTACTGTAGCATACCAATTTCTGCTAAATCGTAATTCGTTTGCCGTTTTCATGAAGCAGTATTTTGGCATTTCGTATATCCTATGGATTACGGTAGTTTTGTGAAACGTTATCCACCAGAAAATCTCATAAAAATTTCAAAAATTAAGGTGGACAAGCTCCTCGAGCAGCACAAATCGGCACTAATTATGCGCCTGTCCTTCGTTACCGGAGGAACCATTTGCTTCACTGTAAAGTCCACAGCTCACACATTGGATCACCGTGCAACTCGTCCAATCCACCTGGAACCATTAGATCTGAAACGACTTCAGACTAAATGCCTAAAAGATTATTTGAGAGATATAGCCGACGCCGAAAAGGTGAGTAGTAGCATTTTGTTCCTTAGCTGTCGACAAGCCAAAGTTTTAGGTGAAATATATACTAAACTCAGCGCATCAAGTGATTCGGATTACAGAAGTCCTTGCACAGCTAGGTGAAAGTGAAGTTGGTGGTAGTGAAGGAAGTCGTGACATCTCGAGTAACGTTACACATTCTGGTGACATCGCAGCAATGCAGCACATCAGGTAGGAATTTATATGATAGCTTTGGTGTCCCTAAATCTCCCTGTTATAGGTTTACTGCCATGAGAATCGCTGTCGTGACATGTAAGGTAAAGCCACCATCAGCTGATCAGCTTGAGGTCGACGTAGAAAGGTGCGAGTGATATATATATATATATATATATATATATATATGAAAGTATTTGGGAAAAATGAAATTATTTTTAGTCCCCGTCGCGCACCATCCGCTGTGCCTACACCGCATGACGATTTTGCAAGAGAACTCGTACAGCTAGCTTCATTCCATGGGAAATCGAAACAGGTAGGTTGACTAAATATGCGATTTGCTTCGGAAGTGTCGGAATTGACACTTTTGCACACATACCGTATGCTACCGTATATCGTATAACATTGCTATTTGAATATTTCAAACTCGGCACATTTAATTTGTGTTTGAGTTACATCACAACAAGCATACCTTACATTTAGCAATACAATGTTTATAATATTTCTGGGAGGAGGCACGCACTTCACTTCGAAATTTGAATTTTATTTGTTTTTCAAATTTCAATATGAAAGTCAAGAAAAGCGCTATGTCAGCTATGTCCCTTAGTTTGAAACTGAAGAATAATCAATAACTTGACAAGTTTCCGCAAATTTATTGTTCACTCGCTGTTAATATTACAGCAGCATACTGCAGGTGATTACGGTAACATACTGTGTTGGTGCAAGACAGTTCTTTTGTATATTTTTTTGAACTTTGTGGGTAAAATCTGCAAGATTATGATTTGATTGCATGACAAGCTTTTTCGCAGTTCATTCAGCTAATTTTGAAATTACGGTAATGTGCTGTAGGTGATTACTGTAGCATACCATAACGGTACAGAAAGACCGTTTGGAGACACTTCTCTACATTTTTTGTAACTCTTGGGAAGATGTCAGCAGAATCCTACTTGATGCTATGATAGTGCAGAAGTATTTTTCGATGTATACGGTAATCAGAGTACTGTAACTCTTTTCAGGAAGTTCTGGACCTTGTCGAATCGCTATCCGACGACTACTTCACACGTAAAACGAACGGTACTACATTCACCGAGACAACACCTCAGGTGGCTGTCTCACCCCAACCTCCCCCTGTGCCTCCAAATTTTGCTCCTCCTTCCCAATTGCCTTCCCCGAACGGGACCACCGCCCCCACCATTCCATACAGCTCTTCTCATCGCTCTGTCTATGATAAATTCGAATACGTGTGATGTTAGTGCCAGAGTAGAATTTTACTTTGTTATTTGTTTTCTGTGACAGACATCGTAATCTAATGTTTCGAATGTCACTCCATGTTGTTCATAGCGGGTCATAATGGTATTTAAACGTTTTGTTTTCTTATTGAGTTAATGAGATCACTTGGGGACTGACATAGGTCCCGGGTACTAATATATAGTGATTTGAAATATACTTCTGGATTGTCTATTGTATAAATATTTGAGCATCGAATCTCATCTGCAATGACAAAAAATTAGATTTGATAAATTCAACGGCATCATATCTATGATACGAAATGAGAAGGGACCTGTATCTTTAAGGGGCAGAAGAAAGTCCTGGATACATTTATTGGAAACATTTTGTTCAAAAAGTTCCGAATGCCATTGCCATGTTGTTAGCACTAACCACTGGGTTTCTCAAAAGTAAACAGTTTTCGTTTTTCTAGCAAACTTGGAAAACCATTTGATAGAGTGGTGTAAGCCTTACGTAAAGACCATACGCTCGGATAAAGTCTGGACCCCAAAACTAAAATTTTTCAGCTACCGTAAACCTTATCTCCTTCTAGAACTTACGGAGCTAACTTGCTCATCATAAAATAGACACATAACAGTACTTATAAACACATTTGTTGACGTTTTCCTCCACTCAAATTCAAGAATAAAAAATAGTCCGAAGATGCAAAGTTGTCACTACTCTGGGGGGGGGGGTTGCAAATTTAAACTTTTTATCTTTCAATTATCGAAGCCGATCAAGGCTTGCAGTATGCAGTTACCTATATGGGAAGGGCTAAGGGTGGAGTTTTTCCATCTTTGAACTATCTTTCATTTCGGCTACTATAGGTGAAAATTCAGCAAATGCATTATGTACTACTATGCATCTTCTGAATGGCAAACGATTCGCAATCTCGTAGAGTTTTTTTTTTGTTGCAAAATTGCCTTTAACCCTTACGAAGATTACGACTTAGGTGGATCTTTGGTGGTCATTTTGAGGAGTCGACTTTGAATTATGGAATAGTGCCCTAATTCTGTTAGGACAACAGAAACAATTTGAGTTTTTTGAGGAAGGTTTTACTCTTAGGGCAGCCTAGAGCATAGGATTACCTATGCGAAAGTAGCGCAGTGCTGCATTCGCGAAAACATGGCAACTTTCATTTTCTCAACTTTTAGCCATGGAAAGAACGAATTGTGCATGGGAATCTGATTGGGTGGCTATACGCGTGACGAATTTAGAGGTTCGCAACGCGAACGCGGCTAGCCGCAGAGCGCATGAGGCCCAGATTTACTACATGAGGATCCGCGCGCGCCGCATTCGCGCCCGCTCAACTAATACTGCTTCTGCGCCTTCGTCATGCAGTACTCTACGAGGCGCACACAGCGTCGCGGACGCGAGCAGTCGCTTCCTAGGTCACGGAGCCCCTCTTCCTATAGTCGTCCTCCCCCCACTAGACAACCAGTGGACGAATTCGAATTTGAACTAGAGCACGCCGGTTGCGGCAGAGCGCGGCACCGTCAAATTCGTTTCAAGCTCCTGCAGTGTTCTTTTGTATTTCTCGTCGTTGCATGTTAATTCATTTATCTCAATGGCGTTTGTAATCAGAATTGACGAGTTTGTTGTTGTTTAGCGATGTTTCATACCTTATGCTTCTCTCTAGCTCTATTTGCAATACAATCTCCATTCTCAACTAAGAAGACTGTTAGCATTCAAAAAATTGCATAAAACGTCGGTGAAACGCAAAGAAAAACTTTGAGTTTGAATGAAAAGCCGAATGTGCCGCGCTCTGCCGCAACCAGAATGCTCCAGTTCAAATTTGAAATCGTCCATTGGGTGTCTAGTGGGGGGAGGACGACTGTACCGTCGATCTGGTTGAAGCAAAGGGTACATTAATGTCGAGGCTATCCCTCGACAGCGTCCCGGATGGGTGCTGAATCTGAATTTTGAATTCTGTGAATTCAAATTTAAATTTTCGACTTTTTTGAATTCGGAATTTTTTTGGACTGTGAAGTTGAGAATGCTCACGGCACGACCGAAGAAGAAAAAGAAGATCTATGAAAGAGACTTATTTTCTAGTAGCTTGCGGACGGAGCGCTTTCGACACCGTTCGGCCCGCGCGCACGGAGCGTGCGGCCCCCTCGCACTACAAGGCGCCGCACGGGGAGCACGCGCGCGCCGCACGGACCGAATGTCAGAGTTGGCAATTGTTGGCACAAAACAATCATCAATGTACCGCCCGAGCAAATGCTGCTGGTTGAAGTTGTGCATTGTGCAAAATTATAAGAGCACTCTGCTATCAACTCGCGTATTATATATTAGTGTCCGATCGGAAGACCAGATAGTCAAAGTCCATAAGTATCTGTGTGACTATCCACTGATTGATCGTCATATCATAGGCAAGTACAACTGTTCGTAATTTGTGAAAAAAAAATTACCGCAATCCACCGGAGTTCGCGGAATTTTGGTTGCATCGTCATGTCTTGTTTCAAAGTGAAGAAATTCTGATTTCAAAAGCAGTATTCAACTCAGCTCGACGAGATACATCTTCCACTATACAGGGTGTCCCGAAAGTAAGTACACACTTGTCAATCGTCAGTGTCTCTCTTCCCAATGGGTCCTTTTTTGCCAGTCAAGCACCATTCCGTAGAGGAGGCTTCAACTTAGTTTCACAGTATCGATCGAATCACCGATTGCTCTTCGTTACTGTAGGATTACGGTAAGAACTTCCAGCATGTGGAACCATTGTGAAACATGCCATCTGACAGAATTTTTTTCAAAGAATTTGAAAAATCGTGTATTAGGAATTTCGCGCTGATTTCGCTACACAACTTTTTACGAATGTTTTCAGCTTCTTTGACGCTGTAATCACATTTCTGACAAATACGGGTTCGGTTTTTACGGTTTACCTGAGATAACTTTAAAAAGAAGCATCACGGTAAAGTGGAAATTTCGTATTCGAAATTAGCTTCCATTTCAATAGTACAAGAGTTATAGGCTTGTTTGGTTTTGTTCCGAGGCAGAATATGGCTTCCATTGGTCTTAAATCCCTGTCGAAATTCCTACAGTAATCCTACAGTAATGAGCAGAGATTGGTGATTCGCTCGATAATTGTGCCGATATATTCGGCACCTCTTCCAATCTTATCAGCCTGTCCTTACCTAGACTTCTTTGTAGCCTTAAGGTCATCAACTCGCGACCTCAAGTCATATCTTTGTATTGATAGCATTACTTCACTTTGCTCCGCCTGTTAGGAGCAGCATTCTACCACTACCCGAACGAGAGTATGCTAATGTCTCAATAAAGCCGCTGTTAGCTTATGTGTCCTGTATAGACACGAAAGGAGCCACCAAACTCCAACTACCGACTTTCCATAAGACTGGTCAGCCACTACATCTTAGACTTCACCATAAGAGTGGTAAAGTCAGCACAATACTGTAAATCTAAGTTGGAGTCTCCCTTACAGGATGATACTTGAATGGTGGAAAAAGACACAATGCGAAGAGAGATATTAACGATTGAATAGTGTGTACTTATTTTGGGACACCCTGTATTAGGCTAGCGGGTGATTTCTGCTACACTTTTATAATTTCTCAAAATTCTAAGGAACTTTCAAAAATCCTTATGTTTAAGGAGTGTTTCTACCCACCAGTACTGTTGAATTCGTAACCATGCGCAGAACACCCACTCTGTTGGACTTTTTCGATTCATTTTTCACCCTTCGTTTTTGACGTGCTAGCGGCACCAAAGGGTGCCATAAAAGAAACTAGAAAAAACAATGCGAAAATATGTTTAAAAAAATTATGAGAAAGGAAAAACACATTAAACGCAGAGAGAAGAACCAAAGAAAAAATGTCAATTCTGAGTACGTTTACAAAGCTGTCATAAGCTTGCTAGCTATTTGTGCATTTGCGGCATCAACTATGCTGTTGTATACTCCCTGCCATGCCCACATATGGAGCAGATTTGAAGACTATTTCTCAGAATTCCAGAAAAAAGTGTAACAAATATAGGCCAACCTAATAGTTGGAGAACAAGTCGGAAGCGAAGGATGAGGCAGTTTGTCCCGTGTCTTCTCTTTCTTTTCTGTATTAGTATTAGTTCAATGTAGTTAATATCTGGTTTCGCAAGTGTTTATATGCTATCCTATGTATATGAACTCTATTCAATGCTTTGATGTGATATTGTAGTAGGGATTGGGTATGATGGGTTACGATGGCAAGCTGATGCGCCAAAAACTTCTCACCCTAAGCAATTTGCGCGGGGCGCAAATTGCTTAGGGTGAGAAGTCATAGTGTATGTTTGTCAAGCATTCGGCTAAAAGTGCCCATGAAGTTACAAAAACTAAGCTCAAATGCTTTTTGAGTTGTGATATGGTGATCCGAAAAGCTTGAAGTCGCTCTAGTGTTATTCCACATAGCTGCAAACAAAGCGCTCAGAGAAATGTTGAGCTAATGGCAACGAAGCTGCAAAATTGAAAAAAATGGGTGATGATGTGGTAGATATTGTATGTTCGCAAAATGGTGGTGCTAAAAACCTATTCGAAAAGATGGAAAAACTTCTTAAGCACCGTGGGTTCCCTTCAGAATTACGAAGAGACTCGCAGCTGAAGAAATAAGAGTTGCCTAGATAAGTGCGTTATTTCTTGCGTACGAAGTCGCAGAATTAGAGTGTTGACGCATACAACTAACTACTTTCAGTATTTTAACGTAAAACTGTGACATGATATAAAAGCTGTGAAGTCGGCCTACAAAGACAAGCACTCCATTTGATTTCTGAATTTGAAGATGTATCAACTTATTGATGGGGTAGCAAAGAAGCTATAAGGAAGTTTATTTATAGCAAGACCCTGATTGCGCTGATAATATCCGAGATGACCCTTCAATTTTTTCTGCAAAGAAATAATAACTGTGTGCTGTGCGGAATATCTCCCGCGACACATACGAATCATCATTCACAACGCATTGGTATATGCACTATTTAATAGCAGCAGTCCAAAAACAAATAAAGCAGAGCTTTCAACTCATTAATCATTTTGATAAATTGTACAACACTCATCAAGTGTCATCATATCATTAGCTAACGTACCGCAAAGTAGAATTGAGGGTGACATCAAATTTGCCAAGTACTCTTTGACAACTCGGAAGTCATCACAAGTGAATTTGTTTACACAAGTAGCATGCACAGTTGCTTTGACTTATCTTGCAAAAAGCTTGTGGATTCCAATCAGAACGAAAGTCA